AGGGATATGAAAATAGGTAAAGAATGTCCAGATATGTATGTGGTAGCCATGAGTTGAAATCAAACGCAAGCATTAGTAATTAAAGATCAAGTTATGGTTCATATAAATAGGGAAATGCATCAAATCACAGCAATGGTTGAATGAGATGTGCATGCAGCGATATGATCAAGATAAACATGGTTCTTGTTGCTCAATCAATCTCACCCTAATGCACAAAAGAATCTAAAAACAGGGCACTCAAGAAATCGCAAAAGATAGACAAGTTTTCAAAGTCAAATCAACAATGCAAGTGAAAAAAAAATGCAATCCTAAAAGATGAAAATATTTTTGGATTTTTTGAAAATTTTATGATTTTTTTGGTTTTTTCTATGCAAAAGCTAAATGCAAAACTAAGAACAAAGAAAACAAGGTTAAATCATCTCTTGAACCCTCCCCCAAACTTAAATCACACAGTCTCTTGTGTGAGAAAAATTTAGTGAAAGATTCAAGAGGGCAAAACCAAGAAAAAACAAGAACAAATGCAAGAAATATGAAATGGTATATACAAGGGTTGGTGTTTGGATACCTCAGTGTCCCCCAAAGAACTGGGAGACTAGGTCGTGGTCTGGAGATGGTAGACGGCCATTAGGAGCGCTCCATGCAACTGGGGTTGCCTCTTGCGGCTCACTCGATCGAGTTTGTGGCTCCTCTTCCTACTCTTCTTCATCGTTGAAACGTGTGTGGCTCCCTTGGCCTTGGAGGAGCTGTGCTTGCTCGAAGCTGTTGTAGGGGGTCCAGTTGGTCTGAGAGAAGTCCTGGTACTGCGTTGGTTCGTACTCGAATCCGGAGTTCTCAAACAGGGGCTCCTCCAGGTCAGCTCGACCGTCAGCTCGATCGAGTTGAGTTTCCTCTGTTTGGACTCGATCGAGTCCGGTGGTCGAGCTGGAGCGTCTGGCCTTGGACGTCTTCCTCCTTCTCTGCGTGTTGTCTTCTCCTTCCCTTGGCTCGAAAGAAGAGGCTCTGTGAGGTTCTTGCGTGGAGAGCCTCCTTTGAGTGGTAAGGAGTGACCTACTCCTTGGGAAAGTAGGGGCCATGGGTGCCTTCTTTTTCCTGCTTGAAGAACCAGAAACCTTCTTCTCCAAGCTCTTGATCTTGCTCACCATCTTATCCATGGACTTTTGCATCTTGTCCATGGCCTTCCCTTGCCACTTGGTGAGCTTTTGGAGAAGTCCAATCCTTTTGTGGGCAGCCACAATAGAGGGGTTCATCCTAGGAGCCTCATACTCCTCAAAGTAGTAGCACTCAGGCTCACCCAAGTTAGCACTCTCCTGCACTTCATCTTCAGCTTGAGCCTCAGCTCGATCCTCAGCTCGATCGAGCTCGGTCTCCTCTTCTTGCAAATCCGCTTCATGCCCAACTAATGTGTACACAGTGGGTCTGAAGTCGATGTTTGTACCTCCTAGAACCGTGGTGAGCTCAGGGTTGGGCAGAAGAAGCTTGGAGAGGCCAGCCAAGGGATGAGTGAATTTGAATTGGAACCTCCCATCCAATTCTTTGTGCTCAATGAGAAGGTTGGTCTTACAAAACTTGATGTCCATCCATCCTGGTGGAGTAGACCATCTCTTGTCCAAATGGACTCCTGTTGCACAAAGAATTGGTGTGATCACCCCTCCAACACTTAGCTTTCTTCCTCCTTGGTGCCTAGTGTTGTAAGGCGTGACCTTGTAGGCTTGGAGCTGCTCGAGGAGAGGCATGAGGTTTCCTGCATGTGCCCTATCTCCTCTGATCTTCTTCCCATCCCTAGTTCGTGAGATGATAGGCTTGATTCCCATGTCAAGGAGCTTCACTTCTCCCTCATTGATTGTTCCAGTGGCTTTCCTTGCAAAGAAGGTGTTTTCAAGAGCCTTGTGGACATATCTAAGCACAGGACTTCTGATCAAGGCAGCCTTGGACCTTGAGGAAGAGTACCCCAGCCTCGGTCCAACTCAGCTCGATCGAGCTCATCAAACTCGTGATGCTTCATTGATGCCAAAAACTCACAAGTCAACTCCTTGTAAGACTCCATGCGGTGAGAGAAGAACTTCCCCAATTGCATGTTCTTGAGCACCAACTCCACATCCTCAAATATCCCAAGGTCTCTCATGGTGTCATCATGTGGGTACTTGGTGTCCACAAAGCCCATGGAGAAGAGAGCATCATAGTGCTCTTGGTACATGGGGAGCTCATCCTCCTCTTGCTCTTCCTCAACCTCTTCCATTGGCTCATCTTGGTTCCCCTCTTGATCATCTTCATCAACCAAATGGTTCACCTCTTCTCCTTCCTCTTCACTCTCAGTCTCATCATTCCTTTCTTCATTTGGAGAACCATTTCCCTCCTCTTGAATAAGGTTCACTCCTACCTCAAACTCCCCTTGCTCACTCTCACTACTAATAGGGTCATTCCTCTTCTTGGTTCTCCTTTCTTTCCTCAATTTCTCACTCTCAGACTGTTCCTCCTCAGAGTATTCATATCCCTCTGCATCAGATTCTTCCATCCTCTGATCCATCTTCTTCAAATCGGCTTGCATCTTAAGCCTTCTTTCCCTTGCATTGCTTGATTCACCCTCAACCATCCTCCTTTGTGAATCACGACTTCCTTCACTGTTTGCCATCTCTGCTGCTCTGTTGCTTCACTAAAGTACCTGAAATGTATCAAAGATTACAAAGAATTAGAGTTGTAATGATCGGTTTGGTCAGCTCGACACTCAGCTCGATCGAGTCAAAAAACTCGAGTGACAAACTCGATCGAGCTGGGTGAAAACAGAGTATAACCGAACCTAATTCAAGTATTAAGAGCTGGAAAGGATGCTAATCAATCAAATTGAACCAAGAGCAACTAGTGAATGGAACAATGAGCAATTCTAGTGAAAATCATAGCAACCCAACCATTACCTAACTCAAATTCGATCTTTCAAGCACATGCAACAAGTTTAAAGGCAAAACAGAGGTGAGGTGAAACAAACTAACAAGATTATACAGCAGAGGCGAAATATGAGGGCAATTAATCAAGAACAAGTCCACAAGGGACACATGCAATCAACAATCAAAGAGAAAACAAGCAATGGAGGGATATCGAGATGAAGTAATCAAGGGTTTCAAGTGTTCATACCTTGCTTGGATGATGGAAGAATCACAGAAACAAGAACTAAAGCGAATTGAGAACAAAGGTCAAAGAGAAATCGCAAAAACTTAGGAAAAAAAGAGAGAAATCGATTTTTTTCTTGTGGTGATGAGAGAGAGAGATGATTTTCAGAGTTTTAAGATTGTGGGAGAGTGGAGAGGTTGGATTCGATCGAGTTATGGGGAAGAGGGGTGTTTGAGATGTGTGGTTGAGTTAAAAGATGAAATAAAGAGGGAACAAGAAGCTAGGGATTCTCTGATCAAATTAGGGTAGTGGGGGACCAAAATCAGCTTGTGGGACCCACTCCCTTGACCAAGAAAACGGTTAAGAATTTGAAATTCAAAAACTTACCTCGGTCGAGTTGTGTAGCTCGATCGAGTTGCCCTGGTTTCTAGCTCGATCGAGCTATCGGTCGAGCTGGCTCCTTTGACACCTAAACTTAACTTATTCAAAGGTTAAAAACATAAAGATAGATAGAAATTGCATAAATAGAGTATGTACAAGGATAAACATGGGACTTCCTCCCAAGTGAGCTTGTTTAAGGTCCCATAGCTTGACCTTTACCTTCTAGGCATTGGTTGAGCTAGTCCCACCAACAAGGGTGATAGTGAGGACTTGAGACAGAAGCTCCTTTAGCTTGGTTGGGTCCCTGGACTGTTCTGAAGTCACCAAGGCCTTGGCTCTAGAGAATGGCCTTGATCTCCCCTTGTACCTTATGTTGTACTCAATCTTCCCATTTTACAACTTGGTGGGGAACAAGGTCATTGTGAGCTGAGATGGCTTGACTGAAGGGGCCTTAGCTGGTGGATCCTTTCTTTTATCACCTGGTCTTGCCTTAGAGGCTGCATCCTCCCCTTCTTTTAGAGCCCTTCCTAGTGGCTCATCAAACAAAGCTTGAAGGCTCTCTTCATCAAGCACACAAGGGGCTTGAACAAGTCTCTCAGCTCTTGGCCTATCAGATCGTGGTTTCTCAACTCTAGCCCTCTCAAGACGTGGCTTCTCAATCCTTGGTCCTCTCTCATCCTTATCCTTCCCAATTCTTGGTTCATTGTCAACCCTTTCCTTCAAAACCTTTGTAGCTCCATGACTCTTGGAACTGAGAGTGGTACTGTCAATTGTTGCACAAAAGTCTGAACCTCTAGGCTGCAAGCGATATGACACCAAACTATTCACCTTGTGAAGGATCACTTCTTGCTTGTAAAAGTCAATTGAAGCGCCAACTGTACTAAGGAAAGGGGTTCCCAATAACAGAGGTAAGTCCTTCTCTTCTTCCATTTCCATCACAGTGAGATCAGTTTGGATGATGCATTCTCCAATTTTCAAGAGATAGTTCTTGAACACTCCAAGAGGAGACTTAGAAGTTGCATCTCCAAACATGATTGAAGTAGTAGGGCGCTGCAAGGCTCCAGCTATGCCTAGCTTCTCTGTCATGGAGAGAGAGATCAGATTGATGCTTGCTCCAGAATCCACTAAGGCATTGTCAATCTCAAGATGCCCAAGTGTGCAAGGGAGAGTGAATTTCCCTTGATCCTTGACCTTTGGTAGGAAGGTGAAGCTCAACTGCCGATCGAGCTTGCCGTGCGAGCTCAACTGGTGAAGTGTGAATGGCCACAGTAGGTGCATGCACTTCTGGTTGATCAATCTGGACTCCTGAAGCCTCAGCAGCAACAATCTCTTCATCATTCAGCAGTAAACAAAAGTCTTCAATGACCCTTTCTTGATCCTCTTCTTCAACAAGTCCTTCTTGAGTGAAGATGACCTTGCATTGTTCCTTGGGGTTCTGAATAGCTTTACCAGGTAGTTGTCCTTGCTTTGTAGCAGCAACAACAGAAGAAGCATGATTCTCCAGAGAGTAAACCCTTGTGTTGAGGTTCTCGATCTTAGAGTTTATTTAAGCTAGCTTCTTGCTTGTGTCCACTACCCCATCAGCTTGCCCTTGAAGTAGTTGCTTTAGCATTGCCTTGAGCTCATTCTCTTGTGAAGGTGCAGGCTGGGGCGGTTGGTGGGGGAAGCCTGGTGGATATTCATTTGTTGTCCAGGGAAAGTGCCTTGTGGTCCTTGGTAATTGTTCTTTTGTCCATACCCATGTTGTGGCACCTGACTCGATCGAGCTGCTTGTTGTTGAGGATATACTTGGTCCTGAGGGTTAGCAACATCAGTGTTGCGGTATGACATGGCAGGGTTGGACTTGTAGTTATAGTATCCTTTGTTGTAACCTCCTTGCCCATTGCTCATGTAGCATACCTCAGCAAATTGTGTATCCTCCCCTTCTTGGACTGGTTCCATCTCCTCAGCAGATACAAAGTTGACTTTCTTCATTTTGGACTGAGCTAGGATCAGCTTATCCAACTTCTCATTCAATGCCTTAACATCTTTTCTCAACTTTTTGTCTAACTCGATTGAGTGGTGGGTCGAGCTCCGGGTTGTCCGATCATACTCTTCTCCATAGCTTCCATTTGAGTTAGCTATGTTCTCCACAAGTTGCCAGCCATCATCTACATCCTGGTTGAGGAAGTTCCCATTGCTAGCTGTGTCTAGCATCTCCCTATACCTAGGCAAGCATCCTCTATAAAGAGTAGAGAGTAGAGATTCATAGTTGAATCCATGGTGTGGGCACTGACTTGTGTAACCTTTGAACCTCTCCCAAGCCTCTGCGAATGTCTCATTGTTTCGCTGGATGAAGCTGGATATCTCTCCTCTAAGCTTGGCTGTGCGACCGGTGGAGAAAAACTTAGCAAGAAAGGCCTTCTTGCATTCATCCCAAGTGGTGATTGTGCCATGGGGCAAGCTCTTCTCCCATTGGTGAGATTTGTCAGCTAGAGACATAGGAAAGAGTCTCAGCTTGATGGCATCTTCAGAGACACCATTGATCTTTGTCAAGTCACAAAGCCTATCAAACTCATCAAGGTGGTCAATGGGGTCTTCACTTGGCAATCCATGGAACATCTTGTTCTGGACAAGGTTGATCATTCCCAGCTTGATCTCAAAGTTGTGGTTCTGCACTGGTGGTGGAACAATCCCTTGTCTCTGTTGGTGGCGGTTTGGAGCATCTCCTTGACCAATCGGTCGAGTTTGCCTAGCTCGACCGAGTCCATGACCCAAAGGGTTTCCATTCCCCTCTGGTACATCCATTGTATCAGCAACAAGCACCTCAGGTTCCCCTTGTACCCTCTGTGACCTCTGAACTCTCTTTCTACCCGTTGTGAAATCTAGCTCGACCAAGTCCTCAGTTGACCGACTCGATCGAGTCCTCTGGAGACGAGTCTCAGGTGGTGCGAGTTGGAGCGTCCCTTGGAAGTCTTCCTCCTTCTCTGCGTGTTGTCTTCTCCTTCCCTTGGCTCGAAAGAAGAGGCTCTGTGAGGCTCTTGGGCAGGGAGCCTCCTTGGAGTGGTGAGGAGATCTACTCCTAGGGAATGTGGGGGCCTTGGACTTCTTCTTCTTGCTTGAAGAACCAGAAACCTTCTTCTCCAAACTTTTGATCTTGCTCACCATCTTGTCCATGGACTTTTGCATCTTCTCAATGGCTTTCCCTTGCCATTTGTTGAACTTTTGGAGAAGTCCAATCCTCTTGTGGCAGCCACAACAGAGGGGTTCATCCTTGGAGCCTCATACTCCTCAAAGTAATAGCACTCAGGCTCACCCAAATCCGCACTTCCTGGACCTGATCTTCAGCTCGATCCTCAGCTCGATCCTCAGCTCGAGACTCAGCTCGATCGAGCTCAGGCTCCTCTTCTCGCAAATCATCCTCATGCCCAACTAATGTGTACACAGGGGGTCTGAAGTCAATGTTCTCACCCCTTACTACTGTGGTGAGCTCTGGGTTAGGCAGGAGAAGCTTGGAGGGTCCAGCCAATGGATGTGTGAACTTGAATTGGAACTCCCATCCAACTCCTTGTGCTCAATGAGAAGGTTGGTCTTGCAAAACTTGATGTCCATCCAACCTGGTTCAGTGGCTCTCCTATCAGTTGGGTTCACTCCAGCAGCACACAAGATAGGGTGATGAGCCCTCCAACACTTAGCCTTCCCTCGTTGATGCTAGTGTTGTAAGCTGTGATCTTGTAGGTAGGAGATGGTCAAGGAAGGCATCAAGTTCCCTGTGTCAGATCTATCTCCCCTGATCCTCTTGCCATCGCTTGTGCGTGAGAGAAGGGCTTGATTCCCATGTCAAGAAACTTGAGTTCCCCCTCGTTGATTGTCCCGGTCGCCTTCCTTGCAAAGAAGGTGTTGGCAAGTGCCTTGTGCACATATCTCAAGACTGGGCTCCTGATCTGAGCTGCCTTGGACCTTGAGGAAGAGTACACTCCATCAGCGATTGTAGCCCAAACCCTTTGGAGTTCCTTTTCCTTGAAGTTCCACTTGGTACCCTCTCCATAGTTGAACCCAAACAAGATCTCCAGCTGCCTAAAGGTCACCATTCTCTTCTCTCCCTTAGCCAAGAACGTGATCCATCCCAATCCTTGGTCCAAATCAGCTCTATCTTCCTCTCATACATGTGGTACCTCATTGAAGCTAAGAACTCGCAAGTGAGCTCCTTGTAGGATTCCATGTGATAAGAGAAGAACTTGGCCAAGTGCATGTTCTTGAGACCAACTCCACATCCTCAAAGATTCCAAGGGCCTTCATTGTGTCAACATGTGGGTACTTGGTCTCCATGAAGTCCATGGAGAAGAGAGCATTAGTGCTCTTGGTACATGGGGAGCTCATCCTCCTCTTGCTCTTCTCAACCTCTCCATGGCTCATCTTGGTTCTCTTGCTCATCTTCATCAACCAATTGGTTCACCTCTTCTCCTTCCTCTTCACTCTCAGTCTCATCACTCCTTCTTCATTGGAGACCATTTCCCTCCTCTTGAACAAGGTTCACTCCAATCTCAAACTCCCCTTGCTCACTCTCACTACTAATGGGTCATTCCTCTTCTTGGTTCTCCTTTCTTCCCTCAATCTCTCACTCTCAGACTGTCTCCTCAGAGTAGACATATCCTCTGCATCAGATTCTTCCATCCTCTGATCATCCTCTTCCAAATCGGCTTGCATCTTAAGCCTTCTTTCCCTTGCATTGCTTGATTCACCCTCAACCATTCTCCTTGTGAAGCACGACTTCCCTCACTGTTTGTCATCTTGTTACACTGTTTCTTCACTAAAGTACCTGAAATGCATCAAAGATTACAAAGAATTAGAGTTGTAATGATCGGTTTGGTCAACTCGACACTCAGCTCGATCGAGTCAAAAAACTCGAGTGACAAACTCGATCGAGTAGGTGAAAACAGAGTATAACCAACCTAATTCAAGTATTAAGAGCTGGAAAGGATGCTAATCAATCAAATTGAACCAAGAACAACTAGTAAATGGAACAATGAGCAATTCTAGTGAAAGCACTAAGCATCTTAACCAATACCAAACTCAAATTCAATTTTCAAGCACATGCAACAAGTTTAAAGGCAAAACAGAGGTGAGGTGACAAACTAACAAGATTATATAGCAGAGGCGAAATATGAGCAATTACTCAAGAACAAGTCCACAAGGGACACATGCAATCAAAAATCAAAGAGAAACAAGCAATAGGAAATCGAGATGGAGATAAGGGTTTTAGGGTTCATACCTTGTTGAATGATGGAATTGAAGAGCAGTAAACAAAACCCAAGCAAAACAAGATGAAGAACAAGGAAATCGCAAAAACTTAGAGAGAGATTGAAATCGATTTTTCTTGTGGTGAAGAGAGAGAGATGAGTTTCAGAAATTTTAAGTGTGGGAGAGTGGAGAAGGTGGATTCGATCGAGTTATGGGGAAGAGGGGTGTTTGAGATGTGTGGTTGAGATTAAAAGATGAAATAAAGAGGGAACAAGAAGCTAGGGATTCTCTGATCAAATTAGGGTAGTGGGGGACCAAAATCAGCTTGTGGGACCCACTCCCTTGACCAAGAAAACGGTTATGAATTTGAAATTCAAAAACTTACCTCGGTCGAGTTGTGTAGCTCGATCGAGTTGCCCTGGTTTCTAGCTCGATCGAGCTGTCGGTCGAGCTGGCTCCTTGACACCTAAACTTAACTTATTCAAAGGTTAAAACACAAAATAGATAGAAATTGCATAAATAGAATATGTACAAGGATAAACATGGGACTTCCTCCCAAGTGAGCTTGTTTAAGGTCCCATAGCTTGACCTTTACCTTCTTAGGCATTGGTTGAGCTAGTCCCACCATCAAGGGTGATAGTGAGGACTTGAGACAGAAGCTCCTTTAGCTTGGTTGGGTCCCTGGACTGTTCTGAAGTCACCAAGGCCTTGGCTCTAGAGAATGGCCTTGATCTCCCCTTGTACCTTATCTTGTACTCAATCTTCCCATTTTCAAACTTGGTGGGGAACAAAGTCATTGTGAGCTGAGATGGCTTGACTGAAGGGGCCTGAGCTGGTGGATCCTTTCTTTTATCTCCTGGTCTTGCCTTAGAGGCTGCATCCTCCCCTTCTTTTAGAGCCCTTCCTAGTGGCTCATCAAACAAAGCTTGAAGGCTCTCTTCATCAAGCACACAAGGGGCTTGAACAAGTCTCTCAGCTCTTGGCCTATCAGATCGTGGTTTCTCAACTCTAGCCCTCTCAAGACGTGGCTTCTCAATCCTTGGTCCTCTCTCATCCTTATCCTTCCCAACTCTTGGTTCCTTGTCAACCCTTTCCTTCACAACCTTTGTAGCTCCATGACTCTTAGAACTGAGAGTGGTACTGTCAATTGTGGCACAAAAGTCTGAACCTCTAGGCTGCAAGCGATATGACACCAAACTATTCACCTTGTGAAGGATCACTTCTTGCTTGTGAAAGTCTATTGAAGCGCCAACTGTACTAAGGAAAGGGGTTCCCAATAACAGAGGTAAATCCTTCTCTTCTTCCATTTCCATCACAGTGAGATCAGTTTGGATGATGCATTCTCCAATTTTCAAGTGATAGTTCTTGAACACTCCAAGAGGAGACTTAGAAGTTGCATCTCCAAACATGATTGAAGTAGTAGGGCGCTGCAAGGCTCCAGCAATGCCTAGCTTCTCTGCCATGGAGAGAGAGATCAGATTGATGCTTGCTCCAGAATCCACTAAGGCATTGTCAATCTCAAGATGCCCAAGTGTGCAAGGGAGAGTGAATTTCCCTTGATCCTTGACCTTTGGTAGGAAGGTGGGTGAAGTAAGCAGGTTGAACTGATGAGTAGACTCTTGTAGGACCTCTGAAACTTTATCACTGTTGGCTAGAACATCCTTGACCATTTGCATTTGATCAAATGCCTCACTCATGCTATCCATAGGAGGCAACTCAATTCCAATCCCACTGAGATCTCTTCTGAACTTGTGAATCACTTCCTTGTGACCTTGACTAAGTAGGCGAGACGAGGAAGCGGCAACCGGTTGATAAGGATCAAGCAAAACAGGCTTCGGACAGAAGAGGTCGGACTCGATCGAGCTAGAGTTGGACTCGATCGAGCTTGCCGTGCGAGCTCAACTGGTGAAGTGTGAATGGCCACAGTAGGTGCATGCACTTCTGGTTGATCAATCTGGACTCCAGGAGCCTCAGCAGCAACAATCTCTTCATCATTCAGCAGTAAACAAAAATCTTCAATGACCCTTTCTTGATCCTCTTCTTCAACAAGTCCTTCTTGAGTGAAGATGACCTTGCACTGTTCCTTGGGGTTCTGAATAGCTTTACCAGGTAGTTGTCCTTGCTTTGTAGCAGCAGCAACAGAAGAAGCATGATTCTCCAGAGAGTAAACCCTTGTGTTGAGGTTCTCGATCTTAGAGTTTATTTCAGCTAGCTTCTTGCTTGTGTCCACTACCCCATCAGCTTGCCCTTGAAGTAGTTGCTTTAGCATTGCCTTGAGCTCATTCTCTTGTGAAGGTGCAGGCTGGGGCGGTTGGTGGGGGAAGCCTGGTGGGATATTCATTTGTTGTCCAGGGAAAGTGCCTTGTGGTCCTTGGTAATTGTTCTTTTGACCATACCCATGTTGTGGCACCTGACTCGATCGAGCTGCTTGTTGTTGAGGATATACTTGGTCCTGAGGGTTAGCAACATCAGTGTTGCGGTATGACATGGCAGGGTTGGACTTGTAATTATAGTATCCTTTGTTGTAACCTCCTTGCCCATTGCTCATGTAGCACACCTCAGCAAATTGTGTATCCTCCCCTTCTTGGACTGGTTCCATCTCCTCAGCAGACACAAAGTTGACTTTCTTCATTGTGGACTGAGCTAGGATCAGCTTATCCAACTTCTCATTCAATGCCTTAACATCTTTTCTCAACTTTTCGTCTGACTCGATCGAGTGGTGGGTCGAGCTCCGGTTGGTGCGATCATACTCTTCTCCATAGCTTCCATTTGAGTTAGCTATGTTCTCCACAAGTTGCCAGCCATCATCTACATCCTGGTTGAGGAAGTTCCCATTGCTAGCTGTGTCTAGCATCTCCCTATACCTAGGCAAGCATCCTCTATAAAGAGTGGAGAGTAGTGATTCATTGTTGAATCCATGGTGTGGGCACTGACTTGTGTAGCCTTTGAACCTCTCCCAAGCCTCTGCGAATGTCTCATTGTTTCGCTGGATGAAGCTGGATATCTCTCCTCTAAGCTTGGCTGTGCGACCGGTGGAGAAAAACTTAGCAAGAAAGGCCTTCTTGCATTCATCCCAAGTGGTGATTGTGCCATGGGGCAAGCTCTTCTCCCATTGGTGAGCTTTGTCAGCTAGAGACATAGGAAAGAGTCTCAGCTTGATGGCATCTTCAGAGACACCATTGATCTTTGTCAAATCACAAAGCCTATCAAACTCATCAAGGTGGTCAATGGGGTCTTCACTTGGCAATCCATGGAACATCTTGTTCTGGACAAGGTTGATCATTCCCAGCTTGATCTCAAAGTTGTGGTTCTGCACTGGTGGTGGAACAATCCCTTGTCTCTGTTGGTGGCGGTTTGGAGCATCTCCTTGACCAATCGGTCGAGTTTGCCTAGCTCGACCGAGTCCATTCCCAAAGGGTTTCCATTCCCCTCTGGTACATCCATTGTATCAGCAACAAGCACCTCAGGTTCCTCTTGTACCCTCTGTGACCTCTGAACCCTCTTTCTACCCGTTGTAAGTCTAGCTCGACCAAGTCCTCAGTAGACCGACTCGATCGAGTTCGCATACACCTGCAAAAAGAGACAAAAACCCAGCAGTACAATAGAACAGGGGTGGTATAGCTTGATCGTCCAAGTGTGTTTGAAACTCAAATGCAACAAAAATATTCCCAAATCGGCAACGGCGCCAAATTGATGATAGGATTTGTGTGTGGATGTGAAAAGATATGAAATGAGATGAGTGGAATGCAATCAGTGGTATATGATGAGGTGGTAAGATGCAAACACAAACACAGTCAACAATTCCCTTTAACCATCATAGTTGATGTAGTACAAAGGTTATCAATCCAAAATGGGAAACTTGTCACTCTTGAGAATATGAAACAACCAGAAAGTCAAGCAAGCAGTTATAGATTTGAAGTAACACTAACAACCTAAATAAAATGAAATGCAGTGCAATAAAAGTAAAAAAGCAGTGAAGTACAGCTCGACCAAGACTCGAGTCGAGTCAGAACAAAGTACCAGCTCGATCGAGTTTAGGGACGAGTTGAGACAAACAAAGCTAAAGGTGACGACTTTAACAAGATAAGAGAGAATTAGGGTTCAAGACAGGGTTTTGCAATCAAAGGAATCTACACTTAATCAATCTAGCTCTTAAAACTCCTTGTATCAAGGCTTCTCTTGATATTGGGCTTCTCAATGCCTAGCCAACCCTTTCCCAAGGTGGAGGCTATCAACCAAGGAATGATCTCAGAAACAGGGGGTTAGCCAGTGAGAATCAAACCTTGGAGGCTATAGGATCATTGCCCAAACTAATCCATCCAACCCCTTAGACCTCTATTGTCTAGAGCAAGAGATATTGGAGCTCTTAGTGGATCTTTTCCAGCGAATGCCATCACTTTCGTGTGGGGAGTCGCCTAAGGACTTACAAGCCAGGGGTAGTGGTCATGTAGCCTTAAGATCTATCCAAAAGAGAGAGAATCTAGATTAAGACCATAAGCTAGAAGGATTAAGCATATGAAACCTCTAATCTATCCCATCTCAAACCCTAATGGGTAACTACTCACTACACATGAATGTAAACACAAGCAAATGCAATAAAAGAGACATCATAAGAAAGAGGAGATGAAATTAAACAACTTTTATTGAAATAAGCAAGTGCAAATACAAAGAGATTATCCAGGATCTAGGATTCAAGAAGCAAGAGCTTCAAGAACACAAAGATGGGATTAGATCTCTAAAAAGTAAAAGACAATAAATTAAAAGAAACTAAAACAAAATAATCTAAAGCTTGGTGGTTTTTTCGTGGCTTAGAGCCTTTAAATACAAGAGGATTAGGTTTAGGGTCAAAGGAAAGTCAAGGGGGAAGCAACATTTTTCGGGTTTGACTTTGACTTCTCAGCTCGATCGAGTTGAAGCTTGGCCGGTCGAGTTGAGGAACTCGACCGGTTGGTCGAGTAGACGGTCGAGCTGGTCTTCAAGATGGCTTCTCCCTTCTTCCTTTGCGTATCCAGTTGAGCTGCTTCCATGTGCCAAGTCCCTCCATGCTCCTTATGTCCCATATGCTCCAGAATGCTCCAAAAGACCTATTTCAAAGGACCAAACATGCATATGTATGCAAATGCAACCTAAAACTAACATGAATGCATAAGAAGAGAAAAGGAACAAGATATGATGCAAATGGAAGCTAAAACTATGCAAAAGATGCATAAAAGATGTGCTAAAACTATGTAAAATGCAAGTACATCACAGCTCCTTGTATATTCTTTGAATCTCTCCAAAGCTTCATAGAATGACTCCATTGAATCTTGCTTGAAACCAGAAATCTTGCTCCTTATAGAGTTGGATCTTTGCTTAGTGTAGAATTGGTTCAAGAAAGCTCCCTTGTATTCATTCCATGTTGTAATGGACTGAGGTGGTAAAGATTTTACCCATCTTAGCGCCTTGTCACTTAGAGAAAAAGTGAATAGCTTGCACTTGAAGTAATCCGGTGATACTCCATTAACACGAGTTGTGCTACATATCTCCTCAAAGGTGTCGACGTGATCAAGAGGATGCTCAGTGGGCAAACCATGGAATTGGTTTTGCTTCACCAAGGCAATGATCTGCGGTTTGATCTCAAAATCGTTCCTTGGAGGTAGAGGCGGTCGGATTGGATTCCGATCCATAAAGAAAGCATCGGACGAATCAAAGTCTCCCATAGTTTGGTGCCTTGGATGCTGCGCGTTTGGCACTCTCCTTGGAGGTGCGTGAGGTTGGTCTTGAGGCATCCCTTGGTTGTCACCGTGACGATGATGTCCATTTGCAAACGCCGGTGGTGGTCGCGGCGGGTTAAGAGGTGGCTGTAGCGGCTCAGCTGCATCGGGCGCGTTCGGATTGGGCGGAGGAACGTCTCTGGCCGGTGCTGGCTGGTCAGCTCTAGCTTCTGCTGGATTAGGAGGATCATTGGCTCTCCTCTCTTGGTCGGGCGGGTTGTTTGGCCTATTTGGCGCGCCTTCTCCGCCTGGATTCATTCTTTCTCTCCTTAGTCGCCTAAGTGTGCGCTCAAGTTGGTCAATGTCAAGATCTTCTTCAATGGTTGTATTTGGATTGGACCTTCTTGTCATGCACCTTAGAAACACACAAAGAGAGATGTAGCTTTTAGTCTTGAATGAGCTAGTCTTGAAATCAAGAGGTGTGAAGGAAAAGCAACTCCTCCCCGGCAACGGCGCCAGAAAGCTTGATGGCGGGTTTAGATTGCCTCAAATTTTCACAATTTATAAACCCAACTAATGAGCTGCAAGTGCACAGCCGTGTTGTAGTCGGGGTCGAACACGAGGAGGAAGTGTTCTCACTTAACACCTTGTGAGATTGGTTTGTAGCTAGCTCGCAATATGAGGTGGTTTTGGACCTAGAATGAGAAAAAACAAAAGAAATGTGAGTGAGTTTGTAAACAATTTAAAACAAGAGTTAGGCAAAGGACAATCATATGGAGCAATGATGAAAAGATAGTTGCATGGGATGTGTGTAGAGCCGTCTTGAACATGAATCACTAGTGTATGGTCTTTCCACTGTCGTGGCTCCAACCACTATGTTTAAAACAACCTAATATACTCAGCTTTCGTTGGCTATTAGAATTGCAAACATGCATTAAAGGTTCAAGATTCAATTGTTCACAATAAACCATAACTCAGCTTTCGTTGGCTATGATCTATTGCTCACCAAATACTAGTTTTGAGATCTAGATTCAGCACTGTCGTGGTTCTATTTCTCTAAGATCAGATTACTAGATGTACGGTAGAGTAATCATGCATTAAGCTCAAGTAAAGGTGAAGATCCATAAGATAAATCCCAATAAGTTGCAACACAATCAAATCATCACGGCCACCATAGATCTCCTCGGCCTAACTAAGAGATCTACTCGGCCATGATGCAAACAAGCAAGCAAAGCATGATTGTAAACATTATGCAAGTATTAAAAGAGATAAAGGGATGAAGAAAGCTTCTCTATTGATGAACAAAGTCGGATTCTCCCTTGAAAACTCTTAAATCAAGTTTATAGAAATGGAAACAATGAAAAAGAAAGAACAAGAGTTGAGCGGCGCCTCCTTCTTCTTGGACGATCTCCTAGGGCTTCTCTCCTCTGAACTCTCTTCTCACACGTACACTCTTTGATAATTTTCTGACTCTCTTCTTCAGCGGCTAAAAACATGTATATATGGGCGAAGTCGCGTAGGGTTTTCTTCATGCCGGAAAAGGAAAGTTTCCCGCGAGCAAAGCCTTCTTCTCCACGTCGTGTATGGGCCGACATTGTACCAAGGAAAGCTCCAAACATTAGCCAGGCCTCTTCTCTATTCGATCAAGGCCTTTGGCGCTGCTGCTCGGGCCATTAGACACTCCAAATCCTCCATGGGCTTCGTTTGCTCGCTTACCGGACATGTCTCGGTAGAAAATAAGTCTAGGCCTCATAGTTGATCCAAATGGCTTCATTCCACTTCGACGTGATGCATGACTCAAGTATCTATCTTTCCATATCAAGATCGTAACTTTTGGACGTCGGGAACTCCTCCGCGCGCGGCCAAACTTCCGAAGCTTCGTTCTGCGCGCAAGCGAGAACTAACACTTGGAGATAAAATGATCTTCTTGACTTGGAAACTTGCATGGATCTTGATTTAGGGCTCTTTTACTCCTTTTTGCATCCTTTTTGATTATTTCACCTACAAAGACTTCAAATCCCACAAATACAAGAAAACTACCTCTAAAGGCAAAGAATCTTGCAAAAACCGTTTGAAAACATAGTAATTATATAGTAAAATCATGTAAAATATGGTGATATCTGTCACTTCGCCAGGTAGAATATTAGTAGAATTGCTATCTCGTCGTGCTTGTCGAGTTATTTTTCTGACTTTTATCTCTTGTTGCAGAGCAGTTAACACGTGCGAAACCAAGTAGCGCTCTCAAAGGCAAGTTCAAAGCTTTGAGGGAGCTTAGTCATCGGATTTGGCCTGAAGTTGTGGAGGCGCTTGAGAGAAAGAAGAAAGAAAGGAAGGAGAAGAAAGAAAGGAAAAGCAAGCATGTTATCTCCGCGACTCCGTTATCCGGTAAGTGCTTCATTTTTTCTCTGCATTTTCGGTCTCGTTACAGACAACTAACTTTACGTTTTGCCTTATTGCAGTTAAACCGCCTCGTTCAAAAAAGAAGCCGAGGGGACTTAAGAAGAGAACGCCCGTGTCCGTTGACGATGTCATCGTTGCTTCGAAGCCGGCATTGAAGAACAGAAGGAGCGAGTCTCCAAAGCTGAGAGATTCTCCTTCTCCTCCTCTTCAAAGTTCTTCTATCGCGTCTCAGACGAAGTAAGTGAGCTTTCTCTCTTCCTTTCCGGATATATGCCGGAGTTGGATGATGCTGAATATTGACGTTTACAGGATTTCGTCTAGAGCTAGACATGCGAAAGAGGGCTCGTCTTCTACGGCGGAGAGGACTCCAGAGAATGTGATCGACATCGATTCTCCTCCTGCTGCGGATCAGGAAGGGGACGTGTCTCGTCAGGACGAGGATGCATCTCGTCAAGATGATGATCTGGGGAGCCCGCCTCGTGGTGGTGCTTCGCCTACTCAGACGAGGGAGGAGTTTCTTACTCCTCACGATGATGCTCCCTCCTTTGACCGTGACGGTCCCGAAGAGGGTGGATCTTCTCGGCGTCCCAGGGAGGGTTTCTTTGATGATGACGAGGGGATGTCTCGTCACTCAGAGATGGGTGGTTCTGTTACCGAGCTAAACCTAATGCTAAGGAAGATCCTGAGGAACCAAAGGTCGAGCCTTGGAGCTGTAATCCTCATGCGGTGGAGACGTGGTAACGTTCCTCTAATGGAGAACCAGGATGCTTGTGGGGGCTCGATTTGGGTGTCCAAGGTCCATCCGGGCTGGGGGATTCCTCGCGAAGGGCTGGCTTTCAGAGGTGACTTCGACGAGGCATCTCAACATCACGTCAAGTCCGGTGGGAAATTCGCCGCGCTGATCCAGAAGTACGAGACGGCTATCCGGGTGGCTAAGGATGAGGTCTCGAGGATGCAGCGGGAGCAGGAGAAGGCCAAGGATGTTGACGCGATGGTGGCCGATCTGAAGCTTAAGAAGCTCGTGCTAGAGTCGAAGGTCACGGCGTTGAACGAGGAGATCGTGAAGACTCTCGGTCTTCAAGATACGGTGGACCAGCTGAGGGCTCAGGTCGCGGATCTCGGGGAGAAGGCTCACCAAGATGCTGAAGCTGCTACTGCTGAGGCAGAGCGGCTTCGACGGTCGCGTCAGGAGTGGGCTGAGATTGCTGCTACCCAAGTCTACAACTCCGTGAACGTGGTACGTTCCTCGTGTTCGTCGTCTCTCGGATTTTGTCACCCAGGGGGATGCAGTCGAGGCGGCTGTAGGGAGGAAGCAAGTTGACGAAGCTCTCCTCAGTTTCGTGAAGAAGATCCAGGGAGTTGATCTTGACTTCGATGCGGTGGAGGAGAAACTTGAGGCCAAGTTGACGGAAAGTTTCGCGGAAGGAGACTCGATTGATGAGGTGGTCGTTGGTGAAGATGATTTCATGAAGCCTCACAGGTAAGATTTGTCCGTTTGCGTTATATCGTGCTTGATGATGCGTTATGTTTGCTTGTGCGTGCGACTATTTTTGTAGCCTTTCCATGTCGGAGGTGATGCTGCCGAAATCTCCGTCTCGGCAAGACGATACGGGAACATCTACTTTTGGGGCCAATCCTATTTAGGCCCCTTCTTCTTTATTTCAAGACTTATTTGGCTGCGGCTGTCTTATCGTTGTAACTACATTACCCGAGAGGGTTTTCATCCATATGCTTGATGATTTATGCTCCAGTTTTATGCTAGACACTTAATATGCTTTTAAGTATGTTTTTATTTTTCTTGCGTGTTTGCGTGATAGCGTTGTCACGACTTAGACATAATTGATTAATTCACAGCACAAAAAAAGTAATCTGGCTTTTGATTATGTCTTTTAATAAAGGAGGAAAAATGCCATCAACGGAATAGATTGAACTAACTACTCGATCGTCATCGGATAGATAGTTCGATTGTCGGGACGACTCGTTGCCTTTAAGTGTATCACGACTTTATGTGCGTGAAGGTGCTAATGCGTCATGACGAGACGCGATGCTTTCGCGGTTTTTCATGACTTCTCATTCGAGACACCGACCAATGCGTATTAGATCTGTATGCTGGCGTGATAAGCCTAATTTCAGCGACGAGCTCTAGAAACTCGATTTATGCTTCTGACTTCAGAGCTTCGTACGGGTGACGAACTGAGAGCCGTGCGAGGTGCGTGTTTTTAGGGTACGAAGTGCGAATTTTGCTTGACGTTAAGCGGGTGCGTACTTTGATAGTCTATATCGACAAGTTTCTGCTTATGCCGGGATGAGGAGCGCATGTTGAGATGGAAAGGATTTCAAATAAAATAAATGATTTTATTTTATTAAGTATTATAGATGTGCCCTTAATCAAAAAGGCTACCTACGTACCCGTGCCGGGATCAATCCATTCGTTGTTCGTTACAAATGTTCATGTCTCTTTTTTTTTTTTTATTGGCTAGTGCGGTGCTTCGCGTCTAGTCATAGAACTTGCACAGCTCCTTTGAGCTCCAGAGGCGTTTGGATGTGCTGCCGAGGTTCTCTTCGAGCTGATAGACTCCTGGCTTGATGATTCTTGCGATGCCGAATTTGCAGCTGAAGCCGAATTTGCCGAGATGGTCGATCATGTCGTCGTCGGACTTTCGTAGGACGAGGTCGTTGAGTGCAAAGCAGAGGTATCGCTTTAATAAGGCGACTGCCAGATCGTCAAAGCTATCGATGGAATCGGTCTGGAAGCTGCCGAACCAAGTTAGGGCTTCGCCGCGCATGTGTTCGGCGAGAGCTTGGCAAATGTGTGCACTTTGCTCTTCCGGTGACGCGTACCTCTGTCTTCTCATGGCAATCATGAAGGAGGAGATCCATTACATGGGGTCGTCTCGACCATTGTAGAAACTTAGGTGCAGCGGGACTCGTTTCTGCAGTGGTACTTCGGAGAGGCGGCTCCTCAGGGGAGTTCTCCGGATATCAGCGAGTATTTCGAATATCTCCTGGTCTGAGAAAGCGCATTGCTGGGTGATATACCTCTATTTTACCTACTTTTTATACTGTTTTAGCATTGTTTTCTAATGGTTTTTGGAAGGTTTCCTATTTTAAAAGGTAGTTTTACTGTGTTTATAGTGTCTAGAGTCTAAACAGGTGAAATGATGCATTTTGAAGCAAAACCATAGGATTTGCACTTCAAGCCGCTCCATGCACAAGCACCAACTTTAAGAGGGCCCAGAAAAAGATCTACTCAATGGATTTCATCAAGACCAGTTCCCTGCGTGCTCTGATTGAGTTAAATTTCCAACGCAACTGGAACGGCCTAATTTGGATGAGTAGAAACGGAGTTATAACCAAAATAGTGAAGACTGTCCAGACGGCTCTATCGAGAAAACAGCGCCCAACCGCGCAGTCCGGCTGGCCGAGAAACTATTGTTTCGCGCTCGGCCAAAGTCACATCCGTCCGACTGAAGTCTCGGCCAAAGTTCGAAACTGACCAACCGATCATCCAACACGACCCGGGAAACATTGTCCCGCGGTCGACCCAAGTCACATCCGTTTCACGCCACGCCGCGCACGATCATGCCGCGCGAGCCGGGGAACAAAGCCTCGCGGCCGCGCAACCCAACTCGCGTACCATGGCCGATGCGTCCGTCCGAGCCGGGAAAGAACATCCCACGTCCGTCCGAGAAACCTTCGGCCAAATCATCCGGCCACGACCGTTCCGACTCGGCCCACGACCCGACTGTCCGGCCGATCATCCCGACCAACCGTCCCAACGCCGCGACCCGAAGCCTATTTTGAAGCCCGATTTCATATTTTCAAGGCCCGGCTTAACCCTAAGCCGCCTCAAAAGACCTAGCACTATATATATAGCTTTTTAGCCTCTTGTGAAAAGAGAGCCGCCCTGTATTTCGATTTCCTACTCATGTTTTCTTCATCTCTATGTGTGTTTGCTTTGATCATGTCTGAGTAATCCACTAGTTAGGTTGCTAGGGTTACTATTCAATGAGTTGCTTGCATGATCTTTGATTTCGATGATTAGCTAGGGCTACTATTCAATAGAGAGTTTGGATTGCTGGATGAGACTAGTTGGGTTGGTATTGTTCGCTAAACTTGCAGGGTGTATGTGAAGCTAACCTTATGTTGTCCTATGTTCATAGTGGAATACAGGAAAGGAACCTTTCACAGGATATTCAAAAGAGCAAGGGAGTTTCCACGTTTTCAAACCTCTTTCACGGATTTAGATTCTTTTTGCTTGAGGACAAGCAAAGATCTAAGTCTGGGGGAGTTGATATACCTCTAATTTACCTACTTTTTATACTGTTTTAGCATTGTTTTCTAATGGTTTTTGGCAGGTTTTCTATCTAAAAAGGTAGTTTTACTGTGTTTATAGTGTCTAGAGTCTAAACAGGTGAAATGATGCATTTTGGAGCAAAACCATAGGATTTGCACTTCAAGCCGCTCCATGCACAAGCACCAACTTTAAGAGGGCCCAGAAAAAGATCTACTCAATGGATTTCATCAAGACCAGTTCCCTGCGTGCTCTGATTGAGTTAACTTTCCAACGCAACTGGAACGGCCTAATTTGGATGAGTAGAAAAGGAGTTACAACCAAAAGAGTGAAGACTGTCCAGACGGCTCTATCGAGAATCAGCGCCCAACCGCGCAGTCCGGCTGGCCGAGGAACGAACGTTCCACGCTCGGCCAAATATCGTCCGTCCGTCTGAAGTCTCGGCCAAAGTCCAAAACCGTCGGCCGATCGCAATCACGACCCGGGAAACTATTGCCCGCGGTCGGCCACGCCACAACGCTACGCCACGCCGCGCACGACCAGCGCGCGAGCCGGGAACAAGCCTCGCGGCCGCGCAACTGTCTCGCGTACCACGCACGACGCTCCGTCCGAGCCGGGGAACTAGCCCGCGTCCGGCCGAGAGATTTCATCGGCCAAATCTTCATCCGTCCGACCACAGCGGCCGACCACGCATCCGTCCGGCCACGACCGTTCCGATCTCGGCGCCATGACCCGATCTCCGGCCGATCGTCCCGACCGACCGTCCCAACGCCGCGGTCGACCCAAGCCCGTTTTGAAGCCCGATTTCATATTTTCAAGCCCGGCTTAACCCTAAGCCGCCTCAAAAGACCTAGCACTATATATATAGCTTTTTAGCCTCTTGTGAAAAGAGAGCCGCCTTGTATTACGATTTCATACTTTGAGTTTTATTGCAATCATGTTTTCTTCATCTCTTTGTGTTGTTGCTTTGATTATGTCTGAGTAATTCACTATCAAAGAGTTCATGGTTTGATAGGTTGTTAGAAGTCGCATAGGGTTTATATATCGCATCTTCGCCTCTGCTTGAATTCATTGCTGCTTGCTTTTCTGATCAACTAGCATCAGATCTTAGGTTTCATATACTCTCCAAAAGCTTGCTATATAACCTGAACTAAGTATTTGGTGAGCAAAACTTCATAGACTGCGAAAGTTGATCTATGCGGGGTTGTGAACAATTGGGTCTTGAACGAACTATTGCTTGATTTAATCACCTAGGGACATACCAAAAGTTTAGCGACTAGGTAGATTAACAAAGGGGTCGGAGCCTCGACAGTGGAAAGATCATACAATCGTGACCTGAGTTCTAGATAGCGCAAACCCTAGCGAACCTTCTAATATCTTGTTAACCTTGAATCTCTGCGAGTTTCTCATTGCCTAGCGTTTCCCTCTATTGATTTTCATAAACCGTTTAATCTGCTGTTTGATTTCCTTTGTTACACAATCAAAACCCTAAATCATACTTGTTTTCTAGCTATATTAGACTTGCAATACTCGAAGTGTACTTATCTGCTCCTTGTGTTCGATACCCGTTTACTACTTTTGATCTGTGCACTTGCAGAATCAGGGATAGGAAAAGGGAAGACCTGATCCCGCGATCAAGTTTTTGGCGCCGTTGCCGGGGAGCAATACAGCTACCTTCGAGTTCCCAACTATAGTCTAGCCTAGAATTTCGTTTTTCCTTTTTGTTTTTGCAAACTTTCAACTTTTGTTTTTCCTTTTTACTGTTTTCTATTTAAAGAATCTTGCCTCTATCCCTTTCAGGTACTAAGCTTGAAAGAAGGACTCTAACATGAGTGATTCAGACGATCAAGAGGAGAGAGATAACTTGGCCGCGAGAGAGATCGCGCTGGCCGAGCAGCACGAAGATCCGCCGGATCCGAACGCCGCGCACAATCGCGCCAAGATGGAGCGCGACACAATGAAGAAGTCATGGGAGACTTCGATTCCAATCCAACACTACTAATCGATCGGAATCCCATCCAGCCGCCACTTCCTGAAGGAAGAAGCTATGAGATTTCGCCGGAGATTATTGGTTTGGTGAAACAAAACCAGTTCCAAGGAAAACCCCAGGAGAATCCTTTGGAACATATTGATGCTTTTGAAGAAATTTGTGGCACCATCAGTGCAGGAGGTGCACCCAAGGAGTACTTAAAGTGCAAACTATTCTCTTTCACTTTGACAGGGAAGGCTTTGCGCTGGGTTAAGTCTCTTCCAGCTCAATCCATAACCACATGGAAAGAGTACAAGGTGGCATTCCTAGGTCACTTTTTCACAAAGCAAAGAGCAAACTTGTTGAGAGAAAAGATCTCTAGTTTCCAACAAGGGCCGGTGGAGCCTTTTCATGAAGCATTGGAGCGCTTAAAGGACTATACAAGAGAGTGTCCTAATCATGGACTATCTGAGGGCAGTCTATGGAACATTTTCTACAGAGGAATAAGTGGGAAGTGTCGATTTTCTCTTGATACAGCCAGCAATGGAAATTTCATGACCAAGACAGTTACTGAAGCAAAGATTTTGATTGAAAATCTAGCCTCAAGCGACAGTGACAACTTCATTGGGCATGAGAGAGCAGTGAAGGCCATAAATTCTGATCCATACAGAGATGGATACAGCGAGATCAAAGCCATGATGGCTGAGATACTGAGAAACCAAGGAAGAGAAGTGGAGAGACAAAGAGAAGCTTATAGAGTTGAATCCACAATAATTCAAGATTACTTTGGAGATTTGATTCCAAGTTTCAAGAAGAAGTAAACTTTGTTGGAATAGATGGATGGCACATGAGAAGAAGCTTGGAAAGGAGAGCATGATGTTTTTACTCAAGAATCACCCAATGAGAAGAGGGATGTTCATGGAGGAAGAAATTATCAGCAACCACCTCACAAGAGAAGAATGGAGCCAAGGAGCAACTTTTGAAGATTTGATAACTTTCATCAAGAGTTCTCATAGAGAGCACACAGCCTTGATTGATGAGAGATTGGAGTCAGCCTTCACGAGATTGAATGAGAAGTTGGATTCTATTTCTTCTTTCACAAGAGACTTGGATCTTAGAGTTGCCAACATAGCCAGCTCTATTAAGAGAGAAGAAGGTATGCTACCAGGAAAAGTGGAAATCAATCCAAGGAGAGCAGCTGTAGCAGCTATCACTCTTAGGAATGGAAAAGGGTATGAGCCGCCAGCATACCCAGATCAAGAGGAAGCAAAGCCGCCAACAAGAAGAAACCAATGGAGTATGTCATTATTGGAGATGGGACTGAACCACCTAAGGAAGTCCATGTCAGAATAGAACCAGGAACTCAGGAGGAAGTGGAGAAGCCACCTGAAGAACCAAGAGTGTATGAGCCAAAGATCCCATACAGAAATGTTCTTTCTCAACCCAAGAAGGAGAAGGAGCAAGCAAAGCTCAAGGATCTTGTTAGCCAACTTTCAGTAAGGTTACCTTTCATTGATGCTTGCCAAATAATTCCATCTCTCAGGAAGTATATGAAGGCCATACTCACAAGCAATGTGAGTCTTGAAGAAGGAGCAATGATGATTACAAAGGAGTGTAGTGCCATACTTCAGAATCGCATGCCAGAGAAGCTGAACGACCCAGGAGTTTTGTTTTGTCTTGCAAGATCGGTTCTACACACTTCCATAGAGCACTTTGTGATTTGGGTTCTAGTGTGAACCTAATGCCTTACTCAGTGGCCAAGCTATTGGGCATCACTGACTTCAAACCTACAAAGATCTCTCTAGTCTTTGCAGACAGATCTGTTCGCCGCCCTGTTGGTGTTATTATGGATGTTCCAATCATGGTTGGAGATTGCTACATCCCTGCTGATTTTGTAGTTCTTGAGCTGGAACACCAACCTAAAGACCCTCTTATCTTGGGAAGGCCATTCCTAGCTACTGCAGGAGCTATAATAGATGTCAAGAATGGAAAGATTGACTTGCATCTTGGAGATATAGTGATGAATTTCGAAGTAAACAAGTCTATGGAGAAAGCCAACTGTAGATGGTCAAGCTTTTTGGATTGGAGAGCTCGCAGAGACAAGAGAAGAAGTGCTGGATGAACTCCTTCTTATTGATCCCTTGGAGCTAGCTTTGACAAAGGCTGAGAATGAGTATGGATACATGGAAAGAGAAGCTCAATGCTTAGTCAAGTTCATGGATTCAAGGAAGCTTATAAAGAGCTGATAGCTTATATGGACTTAGAGAGAGAAGAGGAAGAGCCAGACATTGACAAGGTCAGGAAATATCACAAACCAAAGTTAAGTTCGACCCATGGTGCCCACTTAGAGCTCCAAAAGCCGAGCTCAAACAACTCCCAGTTGGTCTAAGGTATGAATATCTTGGTCCTAATGAAACATATCCTGTTATTGTTAATGCTGCACTAACAAAAGAAGAGACCGCTTTACTTGTTCGCGAACTGAGAAAGCATAGAAAGGCTCTTGGTTACTCTTTGGATGATTTAACAGGAATCTCACCTGAACTATGCACACATCGCATCATCCTGGAGGATGAGTCTAGTTCTTCAATTGAACACCAAAGGAGGCTAAACCCAAACCTAAAGGAAGTTGTCAAGAAGGAGATAATGAAGCTATTGAAAGCTGGAGTGATTTATCCAATATCAGATAGTGCATGGGTCAGCCCTGTACATGTCGTGCCAAAGAAAGGAGGGATCACAGTCATCAAGAATGAACATGATGAGCTCATTCCAACAAGAACAATCACTGGACACAGAATGTGTGTCGACTACAGGAAGCTGAACTCCTCCACGCGCAAGGACCACTACCCCTTGCCATTCATAGACCAGATGCTTGAGCGCCTTGCCAATCATCAATACTACTGTTTCTTGGATGGATACTCAGGATTTTTCCAAATTCCAATCCACCCAGATGATCAGGAGAAGACTACATTCACTTGTCCCTATGGCACATATGCTTATAGGAGAATGCCTTTTGGATTGTGCAATGCTCCAGCTACATTCCAAAGGTGTATGATGTCCATATTCACAGATCTCATAGAAGAGATTATGGAGGTTTTCATGGATGATTTCTCAGTATATGGTTCTTCCTTTGAATCATGTTTGGGAAATCTTGGAAGAGTGCTACAGAGATGTGAAGACAAGCACCTAGTTCTAAATTGGGAGAAGTGCCACTTTATGGTTAGAGATGGAATAGTGCTTGGACATAGAATCTCAGAGAGAGGCATAGAAGTTGACAAGGCCAAGATTGAAGTAATGACAAACCTTCAGCCGCCCAAGACAGTCAAAGATATCAGAAGCTTCCTAGGACATGCTGGTTCTACAGGAGGTTCATTAAAGATTTCTCACAGATAGCAAGGCCGCTAACACGCCTATTATGCAAGGATATTAACTTTGAGTTCACAGAGGAGTGTCACAAGGCTTTCACTAAGATCAAAGATGCATTGGTCAGTGCGCCAGTGGTTCAACCTCCAAACTGGGAACTACCTTTTGAGATAATGTGTGATGCAAGTGATTATGCAGTAGGAGCAGTGCTTGGACAAAGAAAAGACAAGAAGCTACATGTGATCTACTATGCCAGCAGAACACTTGATGAGGCACAATGCAAGTATGCCACAACAGAAAAGGAGCTTCTTGCTATTGTCTTTGCATTTGAGAAATTTCGATCATACTTGGTGGGATCAAAGTTATAGTTCACTCTGATCATGCAGCATTAAGGTATCTCTTATCTAAGAAAGATGCCAAGCCAAGATTGTTGAGATGGATACTACTATTGCAAGAATTTGATCTTGAGATCAAGGATAGAAGAGGAGCAGATAATGGAGTAGCTGATCACCTTTCAAGGATGAGAAGCTAGCAATAAGCATGGACAACTGGCCATCACAGGCCAGGAACAAAGATCTCATCATCAAACACACCATGGTTTCGCCACATAGCAAACTTCCTTGCAGCTGAATACCCACCACCAAACTTCTTTGGCTACAGAAAGAAGAAATTTCTGCGTGATGTAAGAAGGTACTACTGGGATGAACCTTACTTATACAAGAAATGTTCAGATGGAATGTTTAGAAGATGCATACCAGAGGAAGAGGTAGAAGGAATATTGTTTGCTTGTCATAGTTCTAGCTATGCAGGCACTTTGCCACTTACAAGACAGTATCCAAGGTCCTACAAGCTGGATTTTGGTGGCCAACTATGTTTAAGGATGCTCATGCATTCATATCAAGATGTGATGCTTGCCAAAGAATGGGAAATATAAGCAAGAGGAATGAGATGCCACAGAACTTTATACTAGAAGTTGAAGTTTTTGATGTTTGGGGCATTGACTTTATGGGACCTTCCCAACCTCTTTTGGTGACCAATACATTCTAGTGGCAGTTGATTATGTCTCCAAATGGGTGGAAGCCATCGCCAGCCCTACTAATGATGCACAAGTGGTCATCAAGATGTTTAAATCCATCATTTTTCCAAGGTTTGGAGTGCCTAGGATAGTCATAAGTGATGGAGGTTCACATTTCATCAACAGAATCTTTGCCAACCTTTTGAAGAAGCATGGAGTCACTCACAAAGTTGCCTCTCCTTACCACCCTCAAACTAGTGGACAAGTTGAGATCTCAAACAGAGAACTCAAGAGCATACTTCAGAAGACAACAGGCAAGACAAGAAAGGATTGGAGTGCCAAACTAGATGATGCTCTATGGGCATACCGCACTGCCTTCAAAACACCACTTGGTACCACCCCCTTTCATCTTGTTTATGGTAAAGCATGTCATTTACCTGTAGAGCTGGAGTACAAAGCAGCTTGGGCTATTAAGGAGTTGAACTTCAACCTAAAGACAGCAGGAGAAAGAAGATTGATTCAGCTAAATGAGCTTGATGAGATTAGGCATCTGGCTTATGAGAATTCAAAGATCTATAAGGAGAGAACCAAAGCTTTCCATGACCGCAAGATCATCCCAAAGAACTTCGCGCCAAACGACCAAGTTCTACTATTCAACTCAAGGTTGAAACTCTTTCCAGGAAAGCTTCGCTCAAGATGGTCAGGACCATTCAGGATTAAAGAAGTTCGCCCCTATGGAGCAGTGGTACTATGGGATCCAATGGGAGGAGACTTTACAGTCAATGGACAAAGGTTAAAACCCTACCTAGCTTCCACCACCATACCACAGGAGACCACACTGGCTCTTGGCGATCCACCAGATCCTTAAGGAAGTGCCATACAGTCAAGCTAATGACTTTAAACAAAGCGCTGAATGGGAGGCAACCCATTGAAGGTCATTTCTTTTCATTTTCTTTCTTTAATTTTCTTTTATTTTGAATATTACCTCTCACCTTAATGTGATTTGCTTTCACCGGGACGGTGCAAGTTAAGTCTGGGGGGAGTTTTATTGTGTTACTAATGCATTTTTCTTTCTTTTCTTATGTTTTATTACTTTGTTTCATGTTTTTCAAAAAGTTTTATTGAGTCAAAAACCAGTCCGGAAGTTATGAACTTGCTTTGAGAATTGAGAGTGTTATGCTAACAATCCATGACCCTAGAGCAGAAACCAGCTAAAGGCACAAGCCTAACAGAAGCTCTTACAGTGGATCGACATGCTAGCTCAGCAAAATTTCTAAGGTAACCAAGCAATCTAGAGTTAACCTCACCCTTAATCAATCTTAATTACTCTTGTCAAGGGGGTTGGCATACATGTCGACAGTTCCTTGCTTGATTTTCAATGAGATTTGTCTAATCTTTAAAGAGTTCTCCTCTCTCTCCCATCCCAAATGGTAAGTAATGTTTATGAGAAAAAGCTCAAAGAGCACAAGGAAAACAAGTAAGCATGAGGAATGCATATGTCTGTACCTTCATGTCTTATGGAATACCTTAGTCAAACAAGGAACAAGCTAAAGACTTATCCTGTGGTTGAAAGAAGGGTCAATAGAAAAAATAAAATGATACCCTAGAAAAGTAGGGATAAATTGACCTTTCAAAGTTCTGATGTGAGAAAGAGAGAGGAAAAGAACTCATTGCACTTAAAGACAATCTTGGAGAAGATCAAGTGGGTAAGAACAAGTTCAATTGATCGATGTCCCCTTGATAAAGAATTCACGCTTTAAATTTATGCAAGAGGTTAGCAATAGAGAGTTTGGATTGCTGGATGAGACTAGTTGGGTTGGTATTGTTCGCTAAACTTGCAGGGTGTATGTGAAGCTAACCTTATGTTGTCTATGTTCATAGTGGAATACAGGAAAGGAACCTTTCACAGGATATTCAAAAGAGCAAGGGAGTTTCCACGTTTTCAAACCTCTTTCACGGATTTAGATTCTTTTTGCTTGAGGACAAGCAAAGATCTAAGTCTGGGGGAGTTGATATACCTCTATTTTACCACTTTTTATACTGTTTTAGCATTGTTCTCTTTGGTGTCGTTGTCCTCGACAAAGACGATTTCATGACGGGATGAGGAATTGTGATGATGCCTTGGTGCTTTGGGGGTGGACACTTCTTGAGGAGGAAAGAGCGATCTTCTTTTGATTTCATGCCAGGCCTTGGGGTCTTCTGGTTCGGAAGAAGAGGAGGGTGATCTGTCAAAGCGTCGTTGCGGGGTTTCCTGCTCGAGGCGGATGTACTTCTCGGCGCGGAGGAAGGCATCTCTCATAGCCAAGCAGGGTCGGAGGTAGATGTCTTCTCGAAATTTGGACCGATACCAAAGTCCGTTCTCGAGAGCTTGGATGAGTACTACCTCCGAGGTCGGGGGTGTTTCCGAGGTTTCTTCAAAGTCGGGCAGCATGCTCTTGAACCTGTCGAGGAAACTTCGCAGCGGCTCGTCCTTGAGTTGTTCTAGCTCGAACAACTCGTGGAGTCTTCAGGGCTTCCTAGTGCTCATGCTGAGCCTCAAGTCAGACTTCCAGGCGGGTTCGGCACTGGTCCTGCGTGGAGGAATCAGCGGGACTTCCTCTCGCGCGATGGTGGCGTGCCTTGTTGTGTTGGACCTGTTGGTCTCGTCGTCAGGTATTGGCTCGGGTTCTTCGCGAGGAGGTTGGTTTGAGGGCTCGATCACCATGAAAGATGACGCGGTGCAGAGTTTGCGTTCGCGGAGGAAGCATGACCTCATCACTCTTTGATTTCCGCGCAGAGTGAAAATTCTGGAAGGCGTCGGGAACTTTACGCATTGGTGGAAAGTTGAGATGACGGCCTTCATTTCGTGGAGCTAGGGCGTGCCAAGGATCGCATTGTAATAACCGGCTTGTCCATGACAGTGAACTTCATGAGCTTCGAGATTCCGCCGATATAGACGGGAAGCCGGACTGTGCCGCAGCTGTAGACGTGCTTGGCGGTGAAGCCGGCCACGACATTGTCTATACCTTTCTTGTATTTTATGACATAGGGAAATGTCTCAATGAGCTCAGCCCACCGAGCATGCCTCTTGTTGAGCTTCTGTTGGCCTTTGAAGTGCTTGAGCGATCTCATGGTCGATGTGAATAACAAACTCCTTCGGCCATAAGTAGTGCTGCCATGTTTGCAAGGCTCGGACCAAGGCGTAGAGCTCCTTGTCAAAGGTTGGATAATTGAGAGTGGCTCCTCCAAGTTTCTCACTGAAGTAGGCAATCGGCTTCTTGTCTTTCCGATTCCCTGAGGCATCACACTCAATTTCAAAAGTTTTAAGAAAGTCAGGCAACATAAGAACAGGTGCATTAGTAAGTCGATCCTTAAGAGGGTCTGAAATGCTTCCTCCTGTGCCTTCTCCCATTTGAAACCAACTTCCTTCTTGATAATCTCAGTCATTGGCGCGGCTATGGTGCTAAAATCCTTAACAAACCGCCGATAGAATCCGGCCAAGCCATGAAAGCCGACCTCTCCACGGTCTTAGGACTAGGCCAATCCCGGATAGCTGCACCTTCTCTTCATCAACCTGTACGCCATCTGCACTCACCACAAAACCTAGAAACACAACGTTATCCGTACAAAAGGTGCATTTCTTAAGTTGGCGAACAGTTTCTCCTCCCTAAGGACTTTCATGACCGCGGCAAGATGCTTAAGATGATCATCAAAGGTCCTGCTATAGATCAGATATCATCAAAATAAACAACCACGAAATGACCAATGAAAGACCTAAGACATGATTCATTAACCGCATGAATGTACTTGGCGCATTGGTTAAGCCAAATGGCATCACAAGCCACTCATAAAGACCATGCTTGGTTTTGAAAGCGGTTTTCCACTCATCACCTTCCTTCATCCGGATTTGGTGATAACCACTCTTAAGATCAATTTTAGAGAAAATGCAAGACCCATGCAACTCATCTAACATGTCATCAAGTCTAGGGATAGGGTGTCGATACTTTACAGTGATGTTATTGATGGCGCGGCAGTCGACACACATCCTCCAGCTTCCATCCTTCTTAGGACAAGAAGAACAGGAACAGCACAGGGCTCATGCTCTCTCTAATGTGGCCTTTCTCCATGAGTTCATCCACTTGGCGCTGAAGCTCCTTGGTCTCAACCGGATTGGTTCTGTAAGCCGGCCTGTTTGGTAAAGTGGAGCCGGGGACAAAATCAATCTGGTGCTCAATACCTCGGACAGGAGGCAAGCCTGGTGGACTATCTCTGGAAAGACATCACTAAAATCCTGCAAAAGTTAGAAGTTCACTCGGAATCTCCGGTGGAGTGTGAGTCAAGCCAATCAAGTGTTCCTTATATATAAAAGAGAAAAGGTTTGTTTGAGTTCAAGGAACGTTTAACCTGTTTTGGCTTCACCAGGAAGTTCTTTTGCTTGGGCGGCTTGGCTTCTTTTCCAGCAAGTTGTAAGCTGATCTTCATACACTTCTTGTGGACTCAAAGGAATCAAAGTGGTCTTCGGCCCTCATGGAGAAGAGTGTAGCGGTTTGTGAATCCATCATGGATCACACGCCTATCAGATTGCCAAGGCCGCCCTAAGATGATGTGACCGGCGTCCATGGGCAGAATGTCACAAAGGATCTCATCCTTGTAGTTGCCAATGGATAAGGGACAACCACTTGGTTCTTGACACTCATCTCTCCAGTTTCATTCAGCCAGTTAAGCTGATAAGGCCGCGGATGCTTCTTGATGTGATACCCAACTTCTCAACCATAGTTTCACTCGCCACATTGGTGCAACTTCCTCCATCGATGATCAAGCTGCACACCTTGTCTTGAACTAAGCATGAGTGTGAAAGAGGTTCTCGCGCTGCTCATCCTTCTCGGACCTGACTTGAGTACTCAAGATGCGTCTGGCCACCAGAAGCTTCCCTTTGACAGGCAGCATCATACTCCTCAGGATCTTCTTCTTTCTCTGGTTCAGGATCTTCCTCGGACTCAATCTCTCCATTATCGCGAATGATCATCACTTTCTTGTTCAAGGCAGTCAGAGGCATAATGTCCATACCCTTGACATCTAAAGCACTTGAGCTCTTTGGTTGGTGGAGTTCGCTCAGTCCGGCTCTTGTCTTGGTTAGTAGCCAGAGGCTTTGGTTCCGACTTTGGCGAATGGCTTAGTGTCGCGGCTAAAGGTTGGTCGGCGCTGGTCAGTATTGAACCGAGTGGAGGTTCTTCTTTTCAATTCTGTCTCGGCCAAGACAGCCTTGTGTAACATTGCTTCCAAGCCCACACAGTTTTGCATCTCAACTATGTCTTGTAGCTCACGGTTCAAGCCTCCAAGAAACCGAGACATAGTGGCCTCTCGGTCTTCAATCACATTGGCGCGCAAGAGCATAACCTCCATTTCTTGATAGTATTCTTCCAGAGTCTTGGAGCCTTGGGTGAGTCTCCTGAGCTTAGAGTGTAGTTCACGTTGATAATGGCCAGGGACAAACCGTTGTCTCATTATTCTCTTCATTTCTTCCCAAGTGGTGACCTCAAAGGCGCCACCTATCTCACGTGCCGTGATGATTTGTTCCTACCACCTTAGGGCGTAATCATTGAACTCAAACACGGCCAACTTGACTCGATTGGCGCCAGCGATGTTGTGTAAGTTAAAATTAAACTCATACTTCTTCTCCCAGTCCATGTACTCGTCTGGACTGTTCCGGCCATGGAACGGTGGGATCTTCATCTTGTAGCCTCCCAAATTCTCCATCATACGGTCTGGTTCGTCTCGAGGTCTTCTAGAACGACGGCTGGATTGGGACGAGTGACCGGTTCCGTAATAGGTCTTAGCCTGCTCATCGGCAAGCCCCTTGGATGTCATGGGATCATTTCTTCTTTCCTCGTCCGAGATGTGTATTGGATCCTTAGACTCCTTCCGTTTGCCCTCCTTGACCTGATCTCTCCGATCAAGCTCATCAAACATCATCTTCTTGATCTGCTCAAGCATAGCTTCATTGAGAGTGGATGGGGATTCGCAGCTTGTCTCCCCGTCTTCCTTCTCGGACACCATAGTTCATGAAAATCAATCTAAAAGCCACATCAGTCACAAGTTCAAAGAAAAGGCTACAAACAATTTCAAAATTATGGGAAACAATTTTAAAAATATGCAAACACTCTATGGATGATAGATCTATGCGAAAACGACCCAAACAATTTATGAAAAAATTATTAAAATTATGAAACAAATTAAAAAGGCAATGATGGATGCAAACGATCAAGAGGGTGATGAAGCACAAGATGAAAGATGAACAGTCAACTTTAAAATGATCGGAATGTAACTTTGATGAGTAAACAAGCATTGGAAGTAAGGTTATGACAATGAAAACAAAGAAACGATCAATCGCACAACAACAAAGCAAAATCATACTCAAGATCTACGATTTCGAAAATGAGAAGATGAACAGGCAGATTCAAATAAATCTTAGAAATGAGATCACTTAGCTTCAAGGTGCTCTGATACCACCTGATACGCTCCCGGACTAAATTGGCCTTGAGGAAGTGAAAGGATGGACCGGAACACAAGGGAACCGATGGTGATCAATTGATGAATGGATCGAGCGGCTTATACTAGAGAACCGGCGGAAAGGGATCTCTAACACCACTCCAGCGTGTTGATATTACACACAACAAGTGAGAGGTTTCACTGTAGACTTAGTTGATATTACGCACAACAAGTGAACAGAATAAGGTTGATCAAGCATAAAAGAGTTTGAGAATAAAAATGATTGATCACTTGAAACAAAGAAAGAGTTGGGGTTTTAAGGGAAAACAAGAGAAGAAGGGAAGAGGAGGAGATGATTGGAACAGGCTCCAATCATCCTTGAAAACACACAAAACAATAAATGAAACAAGACTGGAAACTCGACCCTTCGGCTTCTTTGGCGCTCCATTTCAAAACTGGGGCCGGACCTAAACACACAAGGAAAAGAGATGGTTTGAAAGTGTGACTTGGGCCTCATTAAAAACCTTGTCAAGAAAACCCAAAGGGACAAAACTTGACAAGGGAAAAAGAGTGCACAAATCACACTTGTCTCTTTATCCCATGTGTAAGGCCTTCAAGCAAACCAGTGTGGTTAGCTTGGCTTCTTGCCGACTCAAACGGCTAAGGACTTTGCCAATCTCTTGGTTCAGTGCCTTAGTTTGTGAACGAGTGATCGGACCAGTTGGTATGGCCATGCTCTCCTCAGGTACAAGCTGCGCGGCCTCATCTCCATCCTCAGCCATAAGCTGCTCGGCTCGATCTCTTTCCTCGGCCATGAGCTGCTCGGCCTGAACCTCTTCATCCATGATCGCATCATCATGAGGGTTTGTTTACATTTTCTCATGAGTTATGCCTTTCTCCTCAAGTCTTGCCATTTCATTGAGAAGGTTAGGATTAAAGGTGGATTGGACTTTTGTGATTTTACTAATGGTGACAGGCTCATGGAAATGTGCTAATTTCTCCTCTAACAAAGTTCTTATGTTTAAGTATATGTTTATTGCATATTGCTGGATTGTGCACCTAGCGATTGATCTTAAAGAATTATGAACCAAGAAAGTGTTGAATCTATAAGCCAGAACTAGGTAGACGAGCTTAGCGTTGTCACATGCTAGCGTTTGAGTTATAAAGCTTTGTAAATGCTAATCGAACCAAAACACGAGTCTTTGCTGCTGCGACGATGGCTGCATGATGCTTCAAAATATTTTATTCTCTAATTTGCAATGTGTGCATCCGTTGCTCCCTCCTCCATCAAATCAAAACCACGGATTGGGACTCAACTCCTTCAACTATTGGAACTCTGAAACCTTCAGAAATGATTTCTCACCCCCTCTTCCAGCCGAACACACATATAGTTCAAGTTCTATTCTAAAGCAAGCCCAAAGATTGTAAAGTTGAAGTGTCAAACTATTTTGCTTCTTCCTTCTAGTGAAGTTGGATATTTGAAGCTACGAACAAAAGTGACAACTTTGAAGCTGAAAATTCAAAACTTTTGTAGTGTACATGTGTCTTTTTCTTAGGTGTGGTCGTGCCACTCATATGAAGAATGTCTTTTAATTTTTCATATTGTAAATTCATGAGATGCCATCATGAGAACCTCTCAACGAATATGCTCTCATACCCATCATCCCAAGCAACAGCCTAAGTACAAACCAATTATTGAAAGACTATAATCTTAACCCATCTAGAACTAAGCGCACACTAAAAATGGAGTTTATGCAAATTAGGCTTTATAATTTATACAGTATTTAGCAACAACAACAATTTTTATAAACAGAATCTCGAGAGTCAAAAACGCAGACTAATCAAACTGATGTCACACAAGGAAAAAAAAAAAAAAAAAAATTGAGAGCAAGTCAACAAGTGCATTCATCAAATGAGACATAGTTTTATACTTTTATTTATTCGAAAGGCATCATAAATGTTTATAGGGCATAGTTAGACTTGAGCGCAGATAGACCTCTCCCCTTGGTATTTATGTTGGTGAATTTCACATAAGCCTCAAAATCAAAAGGCTTATAGAGACGAGGATGTTCATCATCGACCATCTCCTCAGGCGCATTTATGATAAGTCCATCTTTAGGAGGCAAGAACAGTCCAGCCACATACCGATCTTTCTTTCCGGTTATAACCACACGGTGAAGCGGAGGAAGCACCTCACCATTCAACAATACCTGCGAAACTCCATGTTTTAAAATCACATAGTTAAAGATTATATCTGATGATACTTGAGACTCAAGGAAAGAAACTAGGATTTACATGAAGAGAAGCTCCGGCCATAACAAGGAAAGAAAAGTCTTGAGATGGCTTAGCTTTGATCCACTCTTCACCATCTTTGGTTTTTATCTCTACGCCATCTACTACGTCGTTCTGGCAAAGTATGGTGAGGAAATATCTATCGATATGAGTGTCAATGCCTATATTGTCTTTTGTATTATCGTCAAGTCCTTTGTATTTAAATAACTGAAATCGGTTATTCGCAGAGTTAAGATGCTCCTCCACGTATTTGTCGAGCCCAAAACTTTCCATGATCATTGTCCTGACCTTCACGTTTAGTTCTATCAACTTCTCCGCAAACGACTGAACAGTCTTGCTGCAATATACATCAAATCTTAGTATTTTCTAATCGATACTTCTCATTCGACGATTTTTGATTTACTTAAACTATTCATCTATAACAACTAGATCTCATGCCATTGATATTTATTACTAAACTGCTACATATTCTACCTTCTGTACCTCATATATATAATCATTTTTCTTTATCATTTCAAATCTTACACCGTTATTAAATAAATGTTAAATTCTGATCAAAGTTTATTTAAGTAACATGAACAAAAATATATAAGAAAGGGAACCTGAAGGTGATGTTGCCTTGAGGCCAAACCTTGTGAGTCAAGTCATCGATAACCTCAGGATTATCTACACAGTCAAAGCCTATGCCTTCGAACAAAGGCATATTCGGAACCTGACCGGAGTATCCCTTGTTACGATTCTTTGATGACTTTGCACTCAGTTTGGTCTCCAATGGTAAATCAAAAAATTCCTCTGAGGCGTCGAACAATGCCTTCCTTAGCTCCACAGAAGCTCCATCGAACAAGGCCTCGAAACATCCATATTCTTCTAGAGCTTTTCGGACTCGGGATCTCACTGAGTCCCACTCGGGTGTTTCCGGTTTGAGGTTTGGAACCGAGAAGTCGATGACCTGGAGAGAAAGGGGAAGAATTTGAGTTTTGGAAGTTATCGTCATTATTTATCTTCAAGAATTAAGAATGCAGTTTGTATTTTGTGTTCTTCAAAGATCTGGAAGACTCGGCTCGTTAATATATAGAAAGAGAGAATCGAATCGAAGGGGACCACACTCCCACTGTTTTATGAATACAATCCTACTATAATATTCAATTAAGAGAGAATTTTAAGATAAAATTTTAAGATTGAAATTATGTAAATGATCAGAATGGTGTTACTTTTACCATTATCAAATAGTTTAGTATTCTGACGAGTTATTTCATTCAATACAGTTTTTTGAAATATCACTATTTTGTGACAGAAGAACTAAATTTCCTTAAATAGATGTTCACATAAACAAATAATGTAATACCCTTACCAAAATATAATATTACACATTCTGCCATCCGCACAAAATTAGGGACTAAATGGTAACCGATGAATCTTGCTAAATGCGGAATCTGACGGAATTAAATGATGAATAGTTACAGAATCTGGCTGATTAGTTAGTAAAATGAATGCTAACAGTTGAACTTTACTGAATGCAGAATAAATACCTAAAACATCATTTCTGTAACAAAATTACAAAATACTTACCCAGTTAAATTAATAAGCTAAATAAAATATTTAACTTGCGACATAACTAAATAATAACTCAATAAAATAAATAATTTAAAATATAGAATTTTGGATTTTTATTATGGATTCATAATAATTTATTTAACATCAAATATATAAATTTTTAAAAGTTACACCGTTTTTTAGGAAACATATAATTCACATTTCATGTTGAAAAAAAAAACCCCATTTTTATGTATTAATTAAATTTTAAACTTTAAATTTTGTTTTTAAGAATACTCATATACAGTAGAACAAATATTATATTTTTCATTTTTTGGTTAGATAATGTTTATATGTTTCTATAACAAAAATCAGAATTTATGTAAATGAAGTGAAACTATAAATGTTTTATAGTAAACATCCATCAATTTCATAATTTAATTGATTATATTGTCATAATTTTTTTTAAAATAATATAAATGGATTTAGAAACAATTTAATATGTTCTATTTATTCAGAATTTTGTAATGTCACAATTTGTTTTATGGCTAGACTTTAAGTATTGTGCTGGTGGTGGTGATCTATTCTTTTTCCTTTTTTTTTAAACAATCACTCATATTTCTAAATTTGATAATTTCAAAGTATGTATATCTAAAAACATAAGATATTAATAAAAACAATTTGGCATAAAAAGTTATACTAAATTTTACAAGCCATCGTTCAATTAATTTTGTAAATATATAAAATCTTACAAAAATTAAATAATAATTAATACTCAAACTCAAATTTAGCCCAATTCCTCAAACTCCAATTCAGCTCAATTCCTCAAAGTCAAATGGTAACACACTTTATAAATTTAGTAACTTTCCTCCATATTCTACAATTCCTCAGTTACCATTTAGTGTCTAAGTTACAGAAATTAACCAGTCTAAAACCTATATCTGATAATGTAGACATTTTCAATGAAAAATAACACATGATAAACGGAAACCTCACGTTATTAACCAATTAAATATGAAAAATAAATCGTCCTGACAAATTTTTAAATTAACGCCTATAAATCGTAGAGATAAAATAAACTAGAGTAATAATTTTCATATTTTTTCTATTTCTACTTGTTCAGTGTTGTTATCTGTTATAATCATTACAAAACCTTGGGGTCAATAGAGGGTGATTTATTTATTTTATATAATCTAAACCTCTGAGTAAAATGTTTATGTAACCCGGCAGATAAAATACATTACATAATCCATTTTAGGGATAATGTCTCCGTGTGTGAATTGTGGTATTGACTATAAAGCCAAACACATCAAAGTTGACTAGAGAGACGTAATAAACAATGGTACACCACACATGGCACTATTTTCCAAAACATTTTGAAGACAACTAGGAAAATTCATATGTTAGTGGAAAATTCTTATGTTAGATCAGAATCAGTGGAAAATTCTTTCTCGTAGACTTTTTGCACTATACTTGGAATATGGCCTGTGCTACACCGATATTTTTATTTTATTTTATTTTGGAAATAATTTAAACCAAATGTATATTTTTGTAAATTTTTAATTCCCTATGCTCGTTGTCTATTCAAAAATTTCTCGTGAAATTCAGATAAAAGATTTTGAAATTTTAAGAATCTGTATTATATTTTAATGTTGATAGTTATATGTTAAATAATATGCATGTTGATATATATATAAAATATTTATGCATCTCATAAAGTGTTATGTGATATAACTTATGAAAATGTATTGTATTGAGTTGTCTTGAATTAGTTTACATGGTAGTGTATAAATGTAAATATGTGGATCCTAATCCACATAGAGATATAATATAATATATATTGTAGACAGGGCTGTGCTTATAGTGTTTTGAAAAAGGCATTAGCCTCAGGCCCCATTTATAATATAAAGTTTTGAGGCCCCCATTATGTAAAAAATTAGTAGTAGTCTAGTGGTTAAAGGGAGGTTAGAGAGTTCTTCTTGGATCATCCCAAGTTTGAGGCCCATATTTACCAAATTGAGATTTTTTATTTAATTAGTAACTGACTATTTTTAAAAAAAAAACTTATCATTATTGTTATAAAATATATGAAAATGTATAATTGAAATTTGGCCTAGGTCCCCTACAATCCTTCACACGGCACTGATTGTAGATATAACTAAATCTAAATATATCCTTGTCTCCATACCCTCCCTCAAGTTGGAGGTGAGAAAGTTTGAGCTTCCAACTTGGAGAGTAGATTGTAAAGGTGTAAAGGTTGTTCCTTATTAGTTGTGTAGATGCTGATATCTCTTAAGAAAAAGAAACATCAAACTTGCTATGACTGATGAGTTCTTCAGAAGTATATATGGCTTCTTTTCTCTATTGCGAGGCCAACAAACCATGAGAAAATTGAACCGTAAGAGATTGGTCATTAACCAGAGTAGTAGGAGAGATATTAGTAATAATAACCCGGAAATGCCGGGAGAAGGAGCTTCAACCTCTTATGTAACTCTGTTTTCATCATCAGGAGATGGAGGTTGCTCGATTTCAATAATAGAAGTAGTATCTGGTGCCAAATCTGACCTATAGTAGTAGTAGTAGTAGTAGTAGGCTCAGTTGTAGATGTAGTAAGTAGTGTAGTAAGCTAGAGTAGTAGAAGGAGATAGAGATATCTAGAACTAATCATCCGCCATGTTCGATATGCTCAAAACAGTCTCCATGTAAAAGTAGTAGTAGTAGTGGTAGTAGAAGAAAATAACGTGATGAATGACCTCACAGAAGCAGCAGTAGGTAGAGAAGATCCAGGATCTTGTATGACTGCAGGAGATGCAGGTTCTTGTGTAACTACAGGGGAATTATTATCAGAAGTAGCAGCGGCAGCCTGAACAGAAGTAGCAGCGGCAACTTGAACAGAAGTAGTAGCTGTAGCTTGAACAGAAGTAGCAGCGCAGCAGCAATTATCAAGAGATCATGAATGGAGCCTTGAGTAGGAGCTAGGGACGATGACATGATCATGACCATAAACCCAAACTAACGTAAACCCTAACTTCTTTTTTTTTTGGACGAAGCGTAAACCCTAACTAAACACTAATACTATAAGCAATAACTTCATTTAGAAAAACCAAATAAAAAACTTAGGTTGAAAAACCATAAAACCTAATAATAATAAGGAATCCAGAAACCTAACTTAAGAAGAAAAGAAAATTATTAAAAAAAAATTGTAACCAACGATTATCTTCGTCGTCTTCATCGTCGGCACTTTCCTCAACGTCTTCAACACCAAGGGTCACCATCTCCACCGTGAAAAACCAAGAATAACAATGCGGAATTGCATTAAACTTGATCCTCAAGGATCGTCTGGCTCTGATACCATGATATAACTTATGAAAAGGTATTGTATTGAGTTGTTTTGAATGGGTTTACATGGTAGAGTATTTATATGAATATGTGGATAGAATATATATTGTAGATATAACTAAATCAAAATATGTCCTTGTCTCCATATCTTTAAGTTTAGTTTTACCAGACAGACGATCAGTGGATAACTGAGTTTACTGGTTCTGTAGGAGGCTGATAAGGGCTGCAGTTTGATTTGAGGCATGAGAAGGAGCAGCATTGGTTGATTGTGTGTAATCTGGATAGAATTTATTCCCTTCGGTCTCCTTTACATTTTCCGAAAATAGCTTCTCTGGAGAGATTCCGATCTGCTCCAATAACAGAAGCAAAATAAATAATCGAAGAACACCATCACAGAATTGACGACAACTCGGCTGTATTTCTCAGGCAAACGGAGACGCCAAACGCAGAACACCCACATTTCATCTTCCTCTTCTCTAATAAACCCTAATTTCTGTTTCGGCACACTCTCGGAACCGAGCTTCTCTGCATAGAAAAGATGGCTATCGAAGAAGAAATAAGGGAATATGTTTCTCTTACTTCCTCCATCTCTCTCACTCACTCATTCTACTTTCACTCCCAAAATTGGGATTATTATTGAAGATTATTGCCTAAAAATTGGGATTATTAGCTTTTTCTCAATGGTTCCCATCTTGGTTTGAGCCTTATCGCCGCTGTGTTTCGTAAATTTCGATTATTTAATGTGAAAAAGCTGTAAATTTGTGAGTTTGATCTCAGGTTCTTACAAAGTTCACACTCTTTTGATTGAATACTTTTAAATTCACAAAGCTCTGTATTTACTGCTTACTTATTCCCTCGTGCGTATACACACGGGACAATTATCTGACAAAATAAACTATTGTGTTAATTATAATTTTTGTTCACGAACTAATTTCCCATCAGTACGTGCTACAAAAAATTATGGCTATAACTGATTATCTTCTTTGTATGGAGTTCATATTCGGCTTGCATAACAGTATACCCCTGTCTCTCAAATGTATTGTTCCATTTCTCCCCCGTTCTCTGATTTAGGTACGAGCCATCATCTCGTGTGCCCCTATGATTTGAAAACAAATCACTTATCTCCCCACTTGATCTTTATACCCCTAACATTATGTAGTGACAAAATTACCCTTAATGAATCTTATGAAAATAACGATGATACCGCGAAAAAAAAACGCGATTTGCCTCTCTTTTGCATTTCCTCTTTCTCTCTCCTCCGCCTCTTTCTCTCTCTTCCACACTGCCTTCTTCCGAGCTCCCTTTCTGGTTCTGGATCTACTCTTTTTCATTCTGTCCATAAGGTTAGAAATGGATTTCTGCTTCTTTCTCTTCCACAACTATTGTCCTCCATTAAAATATCTGAGATACATAAAACTTCAATCTGTGAAATCATTTTCTCAATTACTTTTCTTTTTTCAATTGCATTTGCAAATAACATAATTAATGAAAGAAAGAATTAAAATGATTATACATAATAGTCTTTTAAACATAGTTTATGGGTCGAATTGGATAGCAATTGTTGAATGGTAACAAATTGTGAGTATAATATCAAGAATTGAACCTGAAATTACCATTTCATGTGATAGGACAACTAAGTGCAACTAGTATTACTATAAATTTAATATAACTAGTAAAACTGGTATTACTATAGAAAAAACGTAAAACTAGTAAAATTGGATAATACTAATAATGACAAATTTGACTTGTATCTAATTGTTTTTACAAATTGAAACAAACATTAGTAAACAAACATCGTAAACTTAACAAAAGATGTTATAAATGTGTATTTAGTAGCCAATTACGAAAGTATAGCAAAATGGTTCCTTATAAAATAATTCACACATCTTCTACCTTATAGTTTTAAGGCCACTTTGTTAAAATTAACACTTTTAGAATGCATAAGTTATATAAATCAATTTTTACACTTTATTAATGAATAAAACACTGGAAGTCATATGTTAATTGACTAAAATCAAATGTAAAACTAGAAAATCAAATTTTAAGATTGGGTAATACTAATTAAAATCGAAAACACCCAATGTACAACTATTTGCAAATTTGGTATAACTACTATATTAGGTATAACTATGTGCAAATTTGACGGCGCCCATGTGAGAAAAAGACGGCGCACGTGTGAGTGAAAAGCAGGACATGTGTTTCTCGTGTGCTTTCCACCATTATTAACGAAAATTTAATTAAAAAATCCCAAAAAATACAAAATTTTGGAAAATTAAAAAAAATATATCAAATTTTCAAAATTATCCCAAATTAAAAATCTAGGGTTTTTGTCATTTCTTCATTCTCTTTTCCCTCCTCTCATAATTTGTGTATTAGATGCCAGAATCTACTCAACTATTTCGAATTTCTTGTCGTTTTAGAGTTTTTTGAATCAAATCCTATTAATTTCAGATTTCTAGGGATCTTCTGGAATATTTATGTTTTCTGGGTTTAACATTTATTTTTACTTGGTAATACTAGTTTTACTTGGTAATACTAAACAAATTTTTACTAAATCGCTAAACAATTCGAACTGCACTGTGAATCGATCTATTTATTGTTGAGGGACCACCATCGTCACTCACAGTTAGGTTGAGAATCTTCGTCTTCTTCTTCGTCAAAATTTGAGCAGTGGATGCTCTCTCTCCATCTGCAATTTCTTCACCCAAAGAGAAATTTGGATTCTTTGTGTGTAATGCCATTAACTCTACAATAATAATAGATCAGATTGAGTTTTTATTAGATTTTCTGTTAAATGTGAAGAACAAAGAAGGAGAAAGATCTGGAAAATCAGAGGAAGCAAGTTTGAGAATGAGTTCTCAGAGAAAAAGTGAAACGCGATTTTTTTTAGAGTTAGGGTATCCAATTAGGTTGGGTTTGGGTCGGGTTTAGTCTGGTTGGATCTGTAAATAATTCAAATACTAAAGGATAATCTTGTAATCAACCAGGTTTTTGAATTAAAAGAAAATCGAAACTAAATTCTGTTTTATTGCTGGGTATTTGGGCTTAGCTTTCAAAAGAGAGGGGCATGAGAGATGATTTCTTTTTAGGTACTTCTCACTTTACTTTAGTAAGCAAACAGGCCCAAAATTTGAGAGAAAAGATGATCATACTTTTTTTATGTTTTACTTAGTAGGCAAATAACTTGCTTATACCCTCAACAACAAAAATCTACGTACGGGATGACAAATAATTAGATTAAAGATATAAAAAAAAATGTATTACAATTTTCTGCAATGTTTGGATAATCCAATTTTTTTTTTAGAAAAGGAAAAACGGATGACTGGAGGTTGAGTGGTAGGGATGATTGGTGATATTTTATACAGATAGTTAGTTAATAGCGATGAAACCACTTCATGGACTTGAGAGAAAGAGATGAGTATACAGAAAAGAAAACATTAACACACTTTGATTAACCACAATCATATCACAATTAAGCTTCAAATTTTTCTAAAAGGAATTTCCATTGATCTCAATCATGAAGTTATGTATGAGGTGAGTACATATATTAGTTTGAAGCTTTCCGATTTTACTTCCTCGTCTTGTTCGTCCTGTACTTTTCCTAGTTCCCAACCTGCTCTATGAGTAATTTCTAGCTTCTTTGGCTTCTTAAATCAAATAATTCATTCAATATCTCCATCAGCAAACAATCATACAAATCCAACTAACAATAAAAAAGTGAAGGATCAGTGTGAAACATCATTCTATGACAGAAAATGAAGAACTAAAAATCAGTACATAAGATACGGAAAAGGTAATATTCAAGTTATTAAAATTACTTAACTCGTTATATGATCTTTACTAAATGTATGTTACACCTTTAAAATCTAAATGACATAAATGATGAGCTATACATCAGACATGACTGAACAACCACATATATAGGATATGCATAGCCGCACATATAATCTGAAGAACACGTTCAAGTCCAATGTACTGCTCTGTATCTCCATTGTTCTCTGCTCTAGGCACTTCTCCTTCCTTTACTGTGTTTCTAAATATTAGTTATAAAATTAGTACTGCTACGTATCTCATAGAAGAAACTAATAAACTGAGGAATCCCTGGTTGACAACAACTTCGGGTCATCCTCGGAACTCCTTGAGGACAAAATTGTTAACAGAGAACTTGGGTTTGTTTTGATTCTTGGTGGTTCCAAGTACCACACCGTCTTTTGTTTGCCAAACCTGAAAATACAGAAAAAAAATACAAACTTTAATCACAATTGTAACACCCGCCTCTTTCTTACCATAGACAGTATGTCCAAGTGTATTAACTTCTACCACAAGAAACCACTTGCTAATTAAATACCACTTAAATCCCAAAGATCGATCCAAAATGTTATACAAAACCTTTTTAACTTAAACAAAAAATCCGAATTTAAAACTGTAAAATAGATAACAATAATAAATAATCCCAGCTTTCCAAAACCATCACCAAGCCAAATGACTACTCCTGTATACCTCAGCGCTCACCTGCAAAAACGAGGGGTGAGTAATTGGGGATTACTCAGTGATTGCAGGTCCAACGGGACCCACGATATACAACTCAAACATTCACAACCACCACAGACGAAAGTCACAAGCTAATACACACAACACAAACATGTCCAAAGACACACAGAACAAGCAATGACTCCTCATCCTAACATGTGCCACTACTCTTTCTGGAATGGATAAGCCTTTTTTTTTTTGCCTCAAACCTTCAAAATAGCCAGTTTTCAGCCATTTGCCGCTGTCAGAATCATTTCCTCACGCTGTCAGGACGGAGCCAAAGTCTATGCATCATCGCCAAATACCGGCGCACACCCCGTGGCATATAGCGGCACACACGCTGTCCGTCTCTCTGTCAAGACGCCTGCCTCTCTTGCAAGACATCTGGCTCGTCAAGCCACCGACGATGAATACCGGTAAGAGAAACCTTTATCTACCCATATCCAGCACACACACATGAGTAGGAGAACCTTTATCCACTCATGTCCACACACACATAAGTAGGAGAAACCTTTATCCACTTATGTCAACACACAGGCAAAACCGCCTCAAAGCCTATAGCTTTTCCCAAACCCGCACAAGTGATTCCCTCACACGATGCAAACACCCGCAAACACTTTCATAACATCACTCAACCATTTTCCATTTAAACAACTTAGTTCACTAGGTTCTTCAATCAACAACAGATCAACAATAAAAACAACACAAGTATGCACGCATTAACCATAGACTACTCAATCTACAATAATTATAAACATAGGAGGGATATATCACGCCAGTCCTCACCTTAGTCTATGAAGTCGGAATTCGGAAGCAGATCTGGATCTGGAAACGAAAAGGCTCATATCTACTAACCGGGAAGGCTAAGAAGAAAAAGGATGACAGATTCGAGAAGAGAACGCGAAGGAGAGCGTTTCTGGTGATTTCGGCAACTTTCCGGCGACTGCGACTTTTCCGGCAAACTTTCCGGCGGCGGTCAACTCCGGCGGTCAACGGTCAACTTCGGCGGTCAACGGTCAACGGTCGGCGGCGCAACTCCGGCGGCGGCTCCGACGACAACTCCGGTGACTGCTCTGGAGAAAATTGGGCAGAGTTTTGCTGGGAATTTATGAATGAGGTTTTCAGAGGCAATGACCTCTTTTTATAGGTGAAGAGAGGGGAACACTAGGTCAAAAACAGACTGGGCCTTGGGCTAATAGGCTTTCTGCCAAAATTCAAAATGGGCTGGGCCCAAGATGTCACAACAATGGCCAGATGCTAAAAGATAATTTATTTGTAAAGTTGACATGATTCCTAGTACCGTTTTTCTTTTGCTGTATTTTCAGATTCACAGCCAAAAGATCTGAACTTTAAGAAGGCGATTGAAATGACATTCCTAATTGAACAAATGTCAATTTCAGTTATTACCTAACGTAGTCATACAGTTCATGGAGTTAATATTTTTACCAATTACAATTTCGATGGACATAAAGGACAGTAACTTATGTTCATAAGCAACAATCTATCTCACAAATTAACACCAATTAGCAAAACAAATTACAGACATAAAGAAACAACATCTGTGACTGTACATTACCATAGTTTTTGTAGGACTTGAGATTGCAGACGTTGTTGCTCTCCTTGGTGATTGCTGGAAACAATCATCATCGTGAAGCTAATTTTGGCTTTTCGATGTTACACGAAAAAAGATAAATGATCGATAAACAGACTGTTAAGATTTGCCCTTGAAAACCTGCAAATTTTAATCTCATACAAGCTCACGAAACCTCTCTCTCTCACAAGAACCAGAAAACAGAGCAAGCAAAGAAACACAGCAAGCAAAAGAGATAAAGAACACAAAGAGTTTGTTCACCCAGTTCAACCTAGTCGATGTGACTAAGCCTACGTCTGAGGCCGATCAATCCGGCAATCCACTAATCAAAAGAAGAGTACAGCTCAATAACAGAGCAAGAGAATCAATGGAGGTTAAGGAACTCCAATTGATTGTTACAACGACTTAAAGGAAGAAGAAGACAAGAACTTAAGTATTTAAACACCTAAACACTTTGCATGGCGTCTCTATTCGCGACTAGAGAGAAACCGTCTAGGTCTTCTTCTTCAATCTCCGGTTCAAATCAACAATCCCAAACCGGTTGTACTCTAATTCAATTCCTCCGGTTTACACCAAACCTGAAAACTGAATCACATAACCACAACACTCCACCTTGATTCAAGTTTTCCTTCTCTTAGTGAATTGCACTACTTGGATTTAACCTCGGCACGAAGATACTCCATCTTCACTTGAGTAACCTTAGAAAATCTAAGGCTTCCTCAAACTTACGAACTGGAATGCTTTTTGTAAGCATATCCGCAGGATTCTTTGATGTATGAATCTTACTCACTGCAACTTCACCTTTGTTAAGATACAAACTGTATATTGATCTCAACAAGTTTACAATACAGATTGAAGCCAGTATCTCTCTGACATTCAAGGGATACTCTCTCAGATTTGGAGAACAATCTCTCACAAATCAACAATGGAAGAAGAAAGTGTAACAAACTATTTGTGTATTCTATTTCTGGATAAAACTCTCAACTGTAAAACTGAACAAGTATATAAACGAGCTTCCCTCTTTCTTCACTCCGTCCAGCTCAGCTTTCATTAATCTCAACTTCGCTTCCGATTGATTCAATACTGTCCAGCTCAGCTTTCTTCTTCTTACGTATATACGCTCCCAACATCTCTGTTCGGGCAAGCCAGTCCACGATACCAAAGCCTCCAAATGACCAGCAGAATCATAACGCGTATCCAACACTTCCTCCGGTTCAATAATAAGCTCATTCTGTACCGAGAACGATTGGGGAAGAGTCGATACCAAATGGTTTCCCCCTAACACCGGTTTAAATTGAGATACATGAAACACATGGTGTATCTTTGACTCTGCGGGAAGCTTAAGTCTGTAAGCCACTGCGCCAATCTTCTCCAAGACCTCAAAAGGACCATAATAACCCACGACCAACTTCTGATATAAACGCTTGGCCACAGATTGTTGCATGTAAGGTCTCAACTTCAAGAAAACCTTATCACCTTGCACAAATTCCAATTCTCTTCGATGCTTATCAGCATTGTTCTTCATTCGTTCATGAGCCTTAAGCAAGTTATCTTTGATCCCCTGTAACAAAAAATCTCTTTCACGCAGCATTATCTCCAAATCAAAGTTCGTTGTCGATCATGCTTCATAACTCAACAAATTTGGAGGTTCTCTTCCATAGACCACCTTAAATGGTGTAGAACCAAGCGTTGTGTGAAAGCTTGTATTGTACCAAAGCTCTGCCCATGTCAAAAATCGTGCCCAAGACTTCGGGTGAGACGAGGCAAAACAGCGAAGGTACGTTTCCAAACAACGATTCAGGACTTCCGTTTGGCCATCTGATTGTGGGTGGAAAACTGTACTAAAATTCAGCTTCGCTCCTGCCCGTTTAAACAGCTCTTTCCAGAAGGAACTCAGAAAAATCCGATCACGATCTGAGACTATCGATCCTGGAAATCCGTGTAACTTCACCACTCCATCAATAAACTTTTGAGCTACATCATAAGCTGTAAACGGATGTTTGAGCTTCAGAAAATGTGCAAATCTGCTGAGCCGATCCACCACAACCAATATCACATTAAATCCCTGAGATGTAGGCAATCCTTCTATAAAATCCATCGATATTCCATCCCAAACCTTATTTGGAATTGGTAAGGGTTGTAATAATCCCGCCGGTGACAATGTGGAATATTTTTGACGCTGACACACGTCACATTCTGCCACAAACTTTCTGATGTCCTTCAGCATCTGTTTCCAATAAAAAATTCCCTGGACTCGCTTCAATGTTTTCAACACTCCTGAATGTCCACCAACTACACTCGTATGAAACTCGTTCAAGATCAGAGGGATGTACTTTGAAGTTTTTGGAATCACCAACCTCTGACGAAAACGTAGCTTCTCATCAACCACTGTAAAACCTTCTCTATCCTCCAATCCATCCTTCACTCTCTGTAATTGTGCCTGTATTGTAGCATCTTCCTCAATTTTTCGGAAAATGTCTTGGATTTGCAAATTAGCCAGAACAGTTACGGAGAAAAGCTGAGCATTCACTGAAGTTGTCGACTGTGTTACAATCCGTGACAACCCATCTTCTGCCTTATTTTCCACTCCAGGTTTGAAGATGATATCAAAATCGTAGTCAAGCAATTTCGTCAACCATTTTTGATAATCCATGGAAACTTCACGTTGCTCTAGCAAAAACTTCAAGCTCTTCTGGTCTGTGTGTACCACAAATTTCCTCCCAAGTAAGTAGTGTCTCCACTTTTGAATAGCCAACACAATCGCCATTAGCTCACGTTCATAGATAGGTTTGATTTGGTCTCTATCCGATAAACCCGAATTAAAATATGCTATTGGTCTCTGGCCTTGCATCAACACTGCACCCAAACCATACCCTGAAGCATCAGATTCCACCACAATGACCTCTGAGAAATTTGGCAATGCGAGCACCGGTGCTGTAATCATTGCTTCCTTCAACTGTTGAAACGCACTCTGAGCTCTATTGCACCATTCAAATTGATCTTTCTTCAATAAGTCTGTTAAGGGCCTTGCGATAGCACCGTAACCCTTCACAAACTTTCGATAATAGCCTGTTAAGCCCAAAAATCCACGTAGCTCCTTCACTGATTTTGGTGCTGGCCAATTCTTCATTGCCTCTGTCTTTGATGGATCAGTAGCAACTCCTTCTTCTGAGATTATATGACCGAGATAATCAACTTATGACTGACCAAACAGGCACTTCTTCTTGTTGGCAAACAGTTTGTGCGTCACAAAGATCCCTAACACTGTCCTCAGGTGCTCCACATGATCCTCAACACTTGAACTGAAGATCAATATATCGTCAAAGAACACCAGAACGAAACGTCCCAAATAAGGCCTGAAAATCTCATTCATCAGCGCCTGAAATGTAGCCGGAACATTAGTTAAGCCAAATGGCATTACTAAGAACTCGTAATGTCCGTTTGTAGTCCGAAAAGCTGTCTTCTCTATATCCTTCTCCAGCATACGGATTTGGTGATAACCAGCTCTCAAATCCAACTTGGAAAAAATATATGCTCCATGTAATTCATCTAATAACTGGTCTATCACTGGGATGGGAAACTTATCAGAGATTGTCACCTTGTTTAGAGCTCGGTAATCAATACAAAATCGCCAACTCCCATCCTTCTTCTTTACCAACAAAACTGGGCTGGAAAACGGACTTTTTCTTGGTCTAATGGTCCCTGCCTCAAGCATCTGTACGACAAACTTCTCCATTTCTTTTTTGTAAGCGTGAGGATATCGATAAGGTCTCACGCTTATAGGATCTGTTCCCGCCATCAGGTTGATGCTGTGTTCTCTGCCTCTCACTGGAGGAAGCTGTGTAGGTTCCGCAAACACCTCAACAAATTCCTCTAACACCTCTGTTATCTTCTCCGGAACTTCTCTCACTACCTCTGCTTCGTTGAGTTCAAAAATCTCACTATCAAACCCAACTAACTCCAAACAATTCAGGGAATGATTCGCTTTGAATGATCGGCCTTGAGCTAGTAAAGCCGGGTCACCATACAAGGTAATCATCTCTCCTTTATGCATGAATGACACTTCATGTTTCTCCCAGTCATACCCAACCTTTCCAAACGTCCTCAGCCAATCCACACCGAGAATGATATTTGCGTTACCTAACTCCAAGACGACAAAATTCATCATAAACTCATGCCCTTGCAACACCACGGAGACGTTCTTACAAACGCCAGAGCCATTAACGGAAATGCCTGTGCCCAACAGAATCTCTAGATTGCGGTTCTTAGCTGGAGATAAATGAGTTTTGCTTAGATTTGACGGGTCTATGAAATTGTGGCTTGCACCGCTGTCAATCATGAAAACTAACTTCGTGAACAAACATCTGAAGGTCGCGTGTTCGTCCACGCTCACCGCACCAAGTTGTTAAGATACAAACTGTATATTGATCTCAACAAGTTTACAATACCGATTGAAGCCAGTATCTCTCTGACATTCAAGCGATACTCTCTCAGATTTGGAGAACAAGCTCTCACAAATCAACAATGGAAGAAGAAAGTGTAACAAACTATTTGTGTATTCTATTTCTGGATAAAACTCTCAACTGTAAAGCTGAACAAGTATATAAACGAGCTTCCCTCTTTCTTCACTCGGTCCAGCTCAGCTTTCATTAATCTCAACTTCGCTTCCGATTGATTCAATACAGTCCAGCTCAGCTTTCTTCTTCTTACGTATATACGCTCTTAACGGCTTATCAACCTTCTTCGGTCACATCTCTGATGAAGTTAAACTTCGTAGAAACATGTTTTTTCCTCTCATGAAAGGTGTTGTTCTTTGACAGACAAATAGCAGACTGAGAATCACACCATATCAAAGCTTTGGCTGGTTTCAAACCCATGTCATCCAACAAGCCACAAATCCATATGGCTTCCTTGACAGCCTCTGTTAGAGCAACGAATTCAGTCTCTGTAATTGACAAAGTAGTTGCCTTCTGCAAGCTTGATTTCCAGCTCACTGTATTTCCACCAACCATGAAAACATAACCACTAATAGACCTTCTTCTGTCAAGATCTGCTGGATAATCTGAGTCACTAAAACCCTGCACACTGAAATCTTTTCCCTTTGTATACACCAAATTCATCCCAACAGAGCCTTTAAGATACCTCAATAACCATTTAACAGCTTCCCAATGTATATCTCCAGGTTTGCTCATAAAACCAATGGCATAAGCAATATCTGGACGAGTCCCAATCATTGCATACATAATACTACCGACTTCGCTGTTATACGGTACCAACTCTGTATCAACACACTCACTATCATCTTGAACCGAATACATCTTGAAGTGTGCACCAATGGGTGTGCTTAAAACCTTAGCTTCACCCATATTAAACCTTTGTGTAACATCCTGGATCTGAAAATGTGGGCCATTTTCAATTTTGTTTATAAAGCCCACGTGGGCCCATCCTCACTTGGTTTGACCAAACCGTGTGAGCATGTCTTGTGAGAAAACCCTACTCGTGACATGAGGAGCCGCCGAGAGAGAGGAGGGATCGAAGGAAAAGGAGAAAAGTGAGAGAAGAGGAAGGAGAGGAGTCGTGAGGAGAGAGAGAAAGAAAACCAGAGGGGAAATTGAGAGAGAAGGAGAGAGAAGGAAGAAGAGATCGTGAGAGGAAGAAGGTGGAGAAGAAGAGAGAGGTGTCCGTGGAGTGCCAGAGCCAACGCCGGAGGCCACCGATCATCACCATCTTCACCACCATGGTCGGAGCATCACCGGTGGTCGCATCCATCACCATCGGAGCTTCCAATCTTCACCGGAGCTTCCAATCTTCACCGTGGCGCCAAGCCTTGAGAGTTAGGTGCACTCCTCTTCTGTTTCTTGCGTCACAAGCAATCTACCTCCACTACTGATGATGTCACCTCCGTTTCATTTTCCGATGAGCATTTATGCCAAAGTGAAGATGAATCTTCACTGTGTTATTCTATATTATTTAACTCTAATATTTGGTTTAAACCAAGCATAACCTTGTTTGTTGCATTTGAACCCTAGTGATATTTTAGGAACCCAAATTGTGTTATATAATTATTTAGTTAATTAATCATATTTTATTGGGTAAATTTAAAGTGATTATTTGTGAGAAATTGTGTGTGATATTATTTATGGTTTATAAATAATATATTCCTTTATGTTATTAAATATTAAATATTTATTTATTTTTGGGAAAATTTCAAAACTACACCTCTTGAATAATGGCCTAACCATACCCCACAAAGCCAAGATTGGGATATGAAGGATATGCTCCAACAACTCCTACAAGGGCAAGCCAAAGGTTCACTGGAAATGAACCACAAGTTGGTAGAAATAAACTCCAAACTTGAGTCATTGACTTCAAGAGTGAAAATCATTGAGTCTTCTAGTGCATCATCCTCTTCACCACAAGAGTATGCCCAAGCAGTTACACTGAGAAGTGGGCGGCAATTTCCAAGCAGGAGTAGCCCACCCCAAATCGCTGTGGACATCGATGACGAGGAAGGGGAGGATTTAGTCGAGTATGCTGATATTCCGGCACCAAACTCGATCGAGCTGGAACAAAACCCTGAACCATAGCTCGATCGAGCTGAAGAAACCAGACTTAGCAAGACAAACCAGAGCTCGATCGAGCCGAGAAGAGAACAACAAAGCAAACTCCAGCCAACCAACTAAACCTGTTGCAAAGAAGAAAGACACTCCATCAGGACCACCACCATACAAACCCCCTCTACCCTTTCCAGGAAGGTTCAAGAAACAGCTGTTGGAAGCACACAAGGCCAAGTTTGATGAACTAATGAGACAACTTGAGCTGAAGTTGCCTTTCATCGACGCCTTGATGCTCATTCCACCTTATCAGAAATTTCTGAAGGATGCTGTTCAGCAAAGAACCAGGGAAGCACAAGGGATGGTAGTGTTGACTCGTAGTGCAGTGCAATCATTCAGCGGAAGGTCATCTCCGACAAAAAGGAAGATCCGGGGAGTTTCACTTTGCCCTGCATGTTGGGACCCCTATCTTTCAAAAACAGCCTCTGCGATCTAGGATCATCTGTCAGCCTCATGCCTTTGTCTGTAGCAAAGAGACTGGGATATCACAAGTATCAAGCCTGCGGAATCTCACTAGTCTTGGCAGATAGATCGATAAGGTTACCAACTGGAATGCTTGAAGACCTGCCTTTGAGAATAGGGAATGTAGAAATCCCCACCGACTTCATTGTGCTGAGATGGATGAGGAACCAACAGATCCATTGATACTAGGAAGGCCATTCCTAGCTACAGCAAGAGCAATGATAGATGTCTGTGAAGGAACAATTGAGCTAAACTTGGGAAAGGACCTAAGGATGAAGTTTGACATCAAGGATACAATGAGGAAGCCAACAATAGAAGGTCAGCTCTTTTATGTTGAGGAAATGGATCAGTTGGCAGATGAGCTTTTAGAAGAACTATCATTGGAGGATCCCTACAAGTTGCTTTGACCAAGGATTCTTCAGAAGGATATGTGAGCTCAGAAACCGAGGAATAGAAGCTCCTTGACACCTTCAGACCAGTTCCAAACATTCTGAGCATTGAGGGGTTGGACAGGCCAGTTTGCGAAGTCATGGCAGTGAGCTCGATCAAGAGCTCGATCGAGTCGAGCCTCGAACAAACGAACTCGATCGAGCTGGGGACTGAATGCAAGGAGCAAGCTCAAGGAGATTGGTCTGAGCTCAAGGCACCTAAAGTCGACCTCAAACCTTTGCCTGAGGGCCTCAGGTATGCATTTCTGGGTGAAAACTCAACTTACCCTGTCATTGTGAACTCTGATTTGGAACCTGAACAGTTGAGTGCTTTGCTTGTTGAATTGAGAAAGTACAGAAAAGCAATAGGTTACACTCTAGATGATATCAAGGGAATCTCCCCTGACCTATGCATCCATAGGATTCATCTAGAGGATGAAAGTAAGTCAAGCATTGAACCTCAAAGGAGATTGAACCCCAATCTAAAGGAAGTAGTGAAGAAAGAGATACTCAAGTTGCTTGATGCTGGGATAATCTATCCCATCAGTGATAGCACTTGGATATCTCCAGTTCATTGCGTCCCAAAGAAAGGGGGGATCACTGTCATTAAAAATGACAAAGAGGAGCTGATTCCCACTAGAACAATAGTGGGGCATCGCATGTGTATTGACTATAGGAAGTTAAATTCAGCATCTAGAAAGGATCATTTCCCTCTCCCTTTCATTGATCAGATGTTAGAAAGATTAGCAAACCACCCTTTTTATTGTTTTCTTGATGGTTACAGTGGTTTCTTCCAAATCCCGATCCACCCTAATGATCAGGAGAAACCACTTTCACATGCCCTTATGGTACCTTTGCTTATCGAAGGATGCCATTTGGGCTGTGCAATGCCCAGCTACTTTCCAGAGATGCATGACCTCCATTTTTTCAGATCTGATAGAGGAGATGGTAGAAGTCTTCATGGACGATTTCTCAGTCTATGGAGCATCCTTCTCCTCATGTTTGTCTAACTTGTGCAGGGTGTTGCAGAGGTGTGAGGAGACAAATCTAGTACTCAACTGGGAGAAGTGCCACTTCATGGTTCGAGAAGGGATTGTGCTTGGACACAAGATTTCCGAGAAAGGGATCGAGCTCGATCGAGCTAAGGTGGATGTCATGTTGCAGCTCCCTGTTCCCAAGACTGTGAAGGACATCAGGAGTTTTCTGGGTCATGCAGGGTTCTACAGAAGATTCATCAAGGATTTCTCAAAGATAGCAAGACCCTTGACAAGGCTTCTGTGCAAGGAGACAGATTTTGAGTTTGATGAAGAATGCCACAAGTCTTGGACCTTGCTGAAGGATGCTCTGGTATCTGCCCCAATAGTTCAAGCTCCAAACTGGGATCACCCATTTGAGATTATGTGTGATGCATCTGACTATGCAGTAGGAGCAGTGCTTGGCCAAAAGATAGACAAGAAACTCAATGTCATCTACTATGCAAGCAAGACTATGGATGATGCTCAATGCAAGTATGCAACCACAGAGAAGGAGCTCCTTGCCATAGTCTTTGCCTTTGAGAAATTTCGAAGCTATATAGTTGGGTCCAAGGTGATTGTGCACACTGACCATGCTGCCCTTAGGCACATCTTTGCTAAGAAAGATACAAAGCCAAGACTTCTCAGATGGATCCTTTTGCTTCAAGAGTTTGACATAGAAGTTGTGGACAAAAAGGGAGTAGAGAATGGAGTTGCTGATCATCTCTCTAGGATGCGAGTTGAAGACATGATCCCCATCAATGATTCTATGCCTGAAGAACAGCTTATGGCAATCATGATCTTGAAAGGAGAGTTTTGATGAGAAAGTCAGGCTGGAAGAAGTTAAGGCTCTGCGTGATGAGAATTTGCCATGGTATGCTGATATAGTGAACTTCATGGTGTCCGGAGAAGTCCCTAGTAGTTTTGATGCTTACAAGAGGAAGAAGTTCTTCAAGGATGCTAGGCACTACTATTGGGATGAGCCTTACTTGTACAAGAGAGGACCAGACAGCATTTACAGGAGATGCATAGCTGAAGAGGATGTACAAGGAGTTCTTGAGCATTGCCATGGGTCAGCTTATGGAGGTCACTTTGCTACATTCAAAACAGCAACTAAGGTTTTGCAATCTGGTTTATGGTGGCCTACTTGTTTAAGGATGCAGCAAGTTACATCGCCAAGTGTGATCCATGCCAAAGGAAAGGAGGGATCACCAAGAGGGATGAAATGCCACTAAACCCAATTCTAGAAGTTGAGATCTTTGATGTATGGGGAATAGACTTCATGGGACCTTTCAAACCCTCCTCAAACGGGCACAACTACATTTTGGTTGCTGTGGACTATGTGTCCAAATGGATTGAAGCCATCCCCTGCCCAGCCTGTGATGCTAAGGTTGTTATCAAACTGTTCAGAACCATCATCTTTCCAAGATATGGCATCCCAAGGGTTGTTATTTCGGATGGAGGTTCCCATTTCATCAACAAGGTGTTTGAGAAGTTGATGAAGAGTTATGGAGTCAAGCACAAGGTTGCTACGTGATATACCTCTATTTTACCTACTTTTTATGCTATTTTACTATGGTTTTCTAATGGTTTTCTAGTGGATTCTTGTGTTAAAAGGTAGTTTTTATGGATTTATAGTGCAAAGAGTCATTTTAGGTAAAAAGGTGCATTATGGAGCAAAACAGGAGATTTGGACTCTAAACCAGTTCAATGCCCCTGCATCAACTTTGGATGGAGCTAGAAAAAGATCTACTCAATGGATTTCATCAAGACCAGTTCCCTGCGTGCTCTGATTGAGTTAACTTTCCAACGCAACTGGAATGGATGAGTAGAAAAGGAGTTATAGCCAAAAGAGTGAAGGCTGCTCCAGACGGCTATATCGAGAATCAGCGCCCGAACGCGCAGTCCGGCTGGCCGAGGAACGAATGTTCCGCGCTCGGCCAAAACCGTATCCGTCCGACTGAAGTCTCGGCCAAAGTAAACCACCGGCCGATCACGCAACACGACCCGGGAAACATTGTCCCGCGGTCGGCCAAGCCAAGTCACGCCACGCCGCGCACGACCAAGCGCGCGAGCCGGGAAACAAGCCTCGCGGCCGCGCAACCTTCGCGTACCACGGCCGATGCATCCGTCCGAGCCGGGAAAGAACGTCCCACGTCCGGCCGAGAAACCATCGGCCAAATCTTCTCCGCCGACCACGCCGGCCGACCATGAAACATCCGGCCACGACCGTTCCGACTCGGCCAAGACCCGACTGTCCGGCCGACCGTCCCGACCGACCGTCCGAACGCCGCGGTCGACCCGAAGCCGTTTTTGAAGCCCAATCCGCACAATTCAAGCCCAAAGCCGGCGCCGACCTAGCTAGATTAGGTTTAGCCGTTTCTATACTTAGAGCATTATAAATACTTCTTTTTAGCCTTGTAACTCAAGAAGGAGAGAGACCACAATCTATTTTACATCTTAATAAAGTTTTGCTTGCTTTTACTTTGTTCTTGCTTGTTACTCTTTCTAGAGAGGATTCGAATCTCTGTTCTTATGAATATGAATTCGTGTTCCTTCTCTATGTCTGAGTAGTTTACTTGTTAAGTGATAGGAAGTCAAAGGATAGCATTCATGTATGCTTGATGATTGATCACAATTAGGGTTTTACTTATAATCTCCATCTTTGCTTATACTTAATGCTTGTTGTTAATCTGGCCAATTAGCATATGCCTTTAGGTTGATTTGAGCCTCGACAGTGCTGTATCATTCGCCTGAACTAGTATTTGGTGGGCAATCTCTTTTAGACTGCGACAGTTGATCTACTTGTAGGTTGTGAACAATTGATCTTGATCGAACTAATGCTTGATTTAATCACCTAGGGACATACCAAAAGTTTAGCGACTAGGTAGATTAACAAAGGGGTCGGAGCCTCGACAGTGGAATGATCATACCATAGTGTTTCAAGTTCTAGATTAGCACCTAAGTGCGGTAACCCTAATTGATTGATTTCATGCTTCTTGAATTGCTTATCTCAAGACTATCCTATTGCTTAGCCTTTCTCTCCTATTGATCTCACTTTCTTTATTACTTGCATGCTTTACTTTCTCTGCACTCAACCAACTTATACTTTTGCCCTAGCTTGTTCTCAAACTCATAGCTTGTAGTGTGCAATCTGGTCCTTGTGTTCGATACCCGTTTACTACTTCTGACCTGTGCACTTGCAGAATCAGGGATAGGAAAGGGGAAGACCTGATCCCGCGATCAAGTTTTTGGCGCCGTTGCCGGGGACCAATTCGCACCTACAAGCTCTTGCAAGAGAGCTAGTCTAGGGTTTTCACTTTTCCTTTTTAGTTTTGTTATTTTTCCTTTTTTCTTTGATTTTGTTTTTCCTTTTTGTTTTTCCTTTTTGTTTTTAGCTTTTCAGGTTTTCCTAGTTAGATATGGAGAAGGAGCCACAAGCCTCTTCCCCTATAAAGGCGATGCCAATTCGCCACATACCACCTCAAAGCACCTCTTGAGCGAACAAGAGATGTTAAGCCCTCAAGCACCACCACCTTCATGGGATAGTCCTCCAAGACCATCCACTTTGAAGACAAAGAAGAAACTTCTTCCTTACCTTGAAGCAGCCGACCTGGAGACGTCTAGCCAAGCCGCATCACACCAAGAAGAACCTTCTAGCCACACCAGAAGAGGAGATTAACCCTGAGCTGATCGAGTTCGTGAAGAGAGATCAATTCCATGATCTGTTTTCAGAGTATGCGCTGGAGCACATAGATCACTTTGACAATCTTTGTGATTCCTATGGAGTTTTTGACTTTGAGAAGAAGATGATGCTATTCAGCACATCACTAGCTGGACCAGCACTAGATTGGGCGCAGCATGAACCACTCTCTAGAATCGAGTCATGGATCGATTTTAGAGATGCTTTCTTGGAAAGGTTTGCGAAGAAGCCACCTTTCAAATTGATGATGGGATTTGTGTGTGATGTGATAGATATGAAATAAGATGTGGTGGAATGCAACAGTGGTAAATGATGAGGTGGTAAGATGCAAACACAAACACAGTCAACAATTCCCTTTAACCATTATAGACGTTATTGTATAAAGGGTTATCAATCCATAAGGGTGAGATGTTGCTCTATGAGAATATGCAAACACAAGAAAGTCAAGCCAAATGATTAAAAGGAGAGATGTAACAACTAAACAACATAATATAACGGAAATGCAATGCAGAATGTAAAAGAAAGCAGCTAAATGCAAGAAATTAACAAGAACAAGCAGATGCAATGGAGCTTGACCAAGAGCTCGATCGAGTTGATGAGCTCGACCAAGAGCTCGATCGAGTTGATGAGCTCGATCGAGTTGAGGGTCGAGTTGGTGAGCTTGATCGAGTTGAGGGTCGAGTTGGTGTAAAAACAGAGGAAATGCAATGAAAAGCGATAAAGCACTACAAGAAATATGGACATTGATAGCAGATTACCATAGCACAGTTTTCGTAACTGCTATTAAAGGGGTATATTGATTTAGGGTACTCTATTATAACATTTTTTAAATGCTATGCCGAAATTTCAGTAACCGGGAACTATTGGAGCCTAATTTTTCCAAATTTGTCATAGGCCTCGACACTTAAAAAAAAGGTCACAAGCCTTTTCTGTACAAAAAAAAACCAGATCTCTTGCGAGTGCGACCTTCTTCTCCTCCCTCTATCCTCTTCATTTCCGATTTACTCCTCAATCATCTCCGATCGGAGATGCTCCTCAATCTTGTGATAGCCCTCTCTCATCATCTCTCTCCTGCTTATCCCTTAGAAAATTAGGGTTTTAGTCGAGGAAGAAGAGCAAACATCTCTCGACTTTCCCCGTCAGTCTCTTCAGTCTCGCGACGGCACTAACGAAAATCCCAACTAGGAAGCAGAAATTTATCCTTCTGCTGGATCGATTCCTGGATTGATTCCGATTAGGACATATGTATTCTCCTTGCCTTGCTCCTTCTTTTGTTTCATAGCTTGGACCTCGTTTCTTATTGTGCATTTGATTTTTAAAAATTCTGGGTTTTGTGTGTTTTTCAGAGTTTGTTGGGGTCTTTGAATTTCAAAGCAGTTGTGATTGAGGTAAACTAAAAATCTCAATGCTTTAGCATCTTTGCTTGATTTCTTTTTACGACTCTAATCTAATAACGATTCCTACTTTGGTGGTAGCTAATTCACGAAGAAAGATGTATTGCCCTTTAATGTCTACAGTTCTCAGTTAGCCTAGCTGTTCAAGAGCGCCAGAACTGTTGAGATGGTTGAGAGACGAGTTCAGAATTCTATTTTGCGGATTGATGTGATGTCTAATTTGTGAAGTATAGTTTTCTTAAAAGAGATTGTTATCCTTTGGGGTTTAAGTAGTTTATGTTGCATCACAATGATAAAGATTGCTGTGTTGTTGAGATGAATCGTTTTTCAGTTCTTTGTTTTTCAGGTAATCTATGACAAAGTACCAGGACCAAGATGGGGTTTCGGATTCGTGACTATGTCGCCAGTCTCTGAAGTTGAGGCAGCTGCTCAAGAGTTCAATGGCTATGTAAGAAGATACTACTCTACCTTACTCTATTCTTTGATTGTTGTAATTAATTGGCTAAGGAATTGTTGTATCCTTGCTTGTTAGTATGTGTCTGTGTTTTGGTTTTTTTAATTTTTGAGTTAGTGCTTTTGTGCTTTTGTATTCATTTTTAGCTGAGAAATGAGGCGTTTGATGGATACTTATATGGTTTTATGCTGTTCTATATTCCAGTGATAAGCTGCAAAGACACTAATAGAAATTGGAGAGCAGAAACAGTGATCTTTAAGCACCACAAAACTTCCTGTTTGCATCACTTTAAGATGCAAACTTTAAGATGCTAATGCGAATATTAGGGTTAAAGACAGGGTTTTGCAGCTAAAGGGAGGCTATACTTAATCAGCCTTGCTCTTAAACAACTTGTATCAAGGTATCTCTTGATATTGAGCTTCTCAATGCCTAGCTAACCCTTTCCCAAGGTGAAAGCTATCAACCAAGACTTGATCTCAGAAACAGGGGGTTAGCCAGTGAGAATCAAGCCTTGGAGGCCATAGGATCATTGCTCAAACTAATCCATCCAACCCCTTAGACCTCCATTTTCTAGAGCAAGAGATATTGGAGCTCTTAGTGGACCTTTCCAACGATTTCCATCACTTCCATGTGGAGAATCGTCTATGGACATACAAGCCAGGGATAGTGGTCATGTAGCCTTAAGGTTTGTCCAAAAGAGAGAGATTTCTAGATTAAGAACATAAGCAAGAAGGATTAAGCATAAACAACCTCTAACCTATCCCATCTTAAGCCCTAAAGGGAACTACTCACTAATCATGGTGAAATAAACAACCAAATGCAATGAATGAAACATCAAAAGATAGAGGAGATGATATAGAACAACTTTTATTGAAATAGAGAAGTGCAGAAATACAATAATAAAGCCTAGATCTAAGGTTCTATGAGCAAGAGCTCAAGAACACAAAGAGAGGCTAAAAAGTAAAAAGGGAAATGCAAATACAAGATTAAATAAAAGTTGAGCAAAAGCTATGTTTAATTCGTGGCTCAATGCCATTTATAGTAAAGCAAACTAGGTTTAGGGTCAAAGGGGAGTCAAAGGGAAGCAACATTTTTCGGGTTTGACTTTGACTCCTGGGAAAGCAGCTCGATCGAGTTGGAAACTGGCCGGTCGAGCTGGTGGGTCGAGTCCAACCAATATCGTCGTATCTTCTGAACCGCTGGTCCGAATGACATGAAACCACCTCCAGACGAAAGCTAACTCAATTATCCACAACTTCCAAGAAGAAGTCAGACACTGAATCGTAGTGGAAACCCTTCATTTGATACGATACTTCGGACGCATCTCACTAGCTCGACCGAGTGCGGGTCCGTACATGGGGCAGACAGAGTCTTTCCTTCCTCAACTAGTCTCCAGTGATAGGCAATGTTCCAATTGGCTCCAAATGACCTGATTAAGACATCAAACGTGCACATGTATGCAAATGCAAGCCTAAAACTACTATGTATGCAAAAGAAGGGAAAACATCAAGAAATGATGCTTTGGGTGAATGAAACTATGCAAAAGATGCATAAAAGAAGGGCTAAAACCATGTAAAATGCAAGTACATCAACACCCCCAAACTTGACCTTTGCTTGCCCTCAAGCAAACAAATAGAACAAGAAAGGGATGAGGTTTGAAAACAAATTGATTCAACCTTTAAAAACATGTCCTCAAAAGCGATTTGCTAAATGTCCAACTTAGAGATTCTAGAATGCAACAAGGTGAGAGATATTCATTAAGATTTAACCATGCTTATCAACATCAATCCCACTTCACAGTCACTCAAACAATGCATTCAAATCAGCAAATCCCTTTAACATTCATTAAGAAAAGTGAACCAAAAACATGCAAGATCAATCAACTCATTTGGTTTCAAGGGTTTATGGGTTAAGAGACAAAGAAGGTCTCTTTTGAGTGTATGGTGGTTTAGTAACAGGGATCTCTCAAGAAAGTGGCTTTGCTTTGGCAGAAGGCTAAGTGTTAGAACCAAAGATGGTGCAAGGACAGCAACTCGAGCCGCCTAATCCTAACTCGATCGAGTTCAACACTTAGAGCTTTTTAGAACAAAATCCTAACTACCCTTTTTGGCATTTCGCCTTTGAAACTGAGGAGCTTTGCTCACTTTTCTTTTAAGAACATCCTAGGGAGAGGCTTCTTGAGGTAACATCTAGCGGTTTGGGATTTTCTAAACACTTAGGGAACTTTTCTTCACTTTTTGACACTTGAGGCTTTGCCTTCTTTTCTTTCTACTTAGAACCCTTTTCACTTTCTTTTTTTAACTTCCCAAACCTTTACTAGACCCTTTTTTAACACTGCCAACTCCCTGGACTTAACTAAACTCTTTTTCCTTTGGATTTTCCCAATTTTTACCACTTTTCTGGTTTTTACCCCAACTCGATCGAGCTCGAGTTGGCACCCCCAAACTTAGCCTGAAAACAATCCCAAGAGAACTAGACAACTAGAACTACTGCCCCTGCCGGTTTAAACACAACACCTTATGCTAAGCAAAGCCAAGAAAGGTTCTCACAATCGCACAAGAGATAATATGGGGTTTGAAATGAAAAAGGCTTAGGTTTAAGGTGGGTAACTGTCTCAAAGATGGAGATCAGCTATCTGGACAAGCAAGAGGGATATGAAAATAGGTAAAGAATGTCCAGATATGTATGTGGTAGCCATGAGTTGAAATCAAATGCAAGCATTGGTAATTAAAGATCAAATTATGGTTCAAATAGATAGGGAAATGCATCAAATCACAGCAATGGTTGAATGAGATGTGCATGCAGTGATATGATCAAGATAAACATGGTTCTTGCTGCTCAATCAATCTCACCCTAATGCACAAGAGAATCTAGAAATGGGCACTTAAGAAATCGCAAATGATGACAAGTTTTCAAGATCAAATCAACAATGCAAATGAAAGATGCAATCCTAAACAATTCTAAGAGATATGAATGCAAAAAGATGAAAATATTTTTGTATTTTTGAAAATTTTATGATTTTTTTGGTTTTTCTATGCAAATAGATATGAAAAACTAAGAACAGAATAAACAAGGTTAAATCATCTCTTGAACCCTCCCCCAAACTTAAATCACACAGTCCCTTGTGTGAAAGAAGCTCAAAGAAAGATTCAAGAGGGAAAAACAAAGAAAAATGCATGAAAATGAGATGGTATGTACAAGGGAATAAACGTTTGATACCTTAGTGCTCCCCAAAGAACTGGGAAGCAAGGTCATGAGTTGGAGAGGGCAGGAGACAATAGCATCATAACGGCATCAATCAAGCCAAAATAGGTGTGGTGAGATTGGACTCGATCGAGTCTGTGCTCGAGTCAGAATAGCTTCCCTTTTGAACTAACTCCTGCAAGCCTTAGACAGAAACAACTACAAAGAACTTAAATGAAAGTATTATATACAAGATAGACATGGGAATTCCTCCCAAGTGAGCTTGTTTTAGGTCGCATAGCTTGACCTTTTACCTTTTAGGCATGAATGAGAGCGGTCCCGCCATCAAATGTGACAGTAAGGACTGAAGATAGGAGCTCCTTGAGCTTGGTTTGATCTTTTTGCAGCTCAGGACTGACCAAGGCATTGATACTGGAAAACGGTTTAGACTTTCTCTTGCACTTGATCTTGTACTCAATCTTCCCATTTGTGAACTTGGATGGCAACAGAGTCAGGGTAAGCTGGGATGGAGCGCTTGAGAGAGTCTGAGGCGTGATCATCTTTCTTTTATGTCCAGGAGACGCCTTCAAAGCCATACCCTCCCCATCTTTTTGAGCACTTCCTAGCTGCTCACTAAACAAAACTGCAAGACCCATCTCATCCAGAACACAAGGTTCACAAATAACTGGCTCTGTGCTGCTCTCAGTCATTATCTCCATCTTTTCAACCTCAGCAAACTCATCACCCTTGATGCTCAGTGACTTAGTGGCAATGGTTCCACAATATTTAGAGCTTGATGCCTTGAGAGGGTAAGAGACTTTGCTGTTGACATTGTGCAGGATCACTTTCTTTGTATGGAAATCAATGGAGGCACCAACAGTGGTGAGGAAAGGTGTCCCTAAGATCAATGGCACATCCTTCTCGTCAACCATATCCAGAACTGTTAGATCAATTGGGATTGTGCACTCTCCAATTCTCAAAGGGAAATCCATGACAATACCAAGTGGGGCTTTAGAAGAAGCATCCCCAAACATGATAGAAGACTTAGGTCGCTGGATCAGACTCTGTATACCCAATTTCTGTATTAGAACAAGAGAGATCAGATTGATACTTGCTCCAGAATCAACAAGTGCATCCTCAAGTTGTAGGTGACCAAGTGTACAAGGCAGAGTGAAGCTTCCCTGACCATTCAGCTTGGGTAGTGAGGTTGGTGTGGATAAGAGATCACCCTGGGAAGAAGAGGGCTCCAAAAGCTGAGCTACTTCGTCCTTGTTATCAAGTATGTCCTTAATCATCTTCTTTTGGACATGAGCAGCTTGAAAACTTCCCATATTTGGTAGCTCAACCCCAATCTTACTCATGTCATTCCTAAACTTGGTGATGACTTTTTTCTGATTCTTGGTAAGGATTCTACTTGGAAATGGAACAGGGGGCTTGTAGGTGTCATCATCAGATGGTGTTGGAGCATAAAGCATCTGACTCGATCGAGCTGGTGAGACGGTCTGGCTCGATCGAGCTGCCAATCGAGCTTGTTGTGCGAGCTCAACCGGTGAAGCGTGGATAGCTATCTGAGGAGCTTGCACTTCAGGTTGAGCGTACTGGACTCCAGGAGCATCAGCAACAACATTGTCTTCATTATTAAGCAGCATACAGATCTCCTCAATATCCTTCTCATTAGCAGCTTGTTGATCAAATCCTTCCTCTTGAGTGAAGATCGCTCTACAATGCTCCTTTGGATTCTGAACAGCCTTTCCAGGAAATTGACCTTGCTTAGCAGCAGAAGAAGAAGCATGGTGTTCCAAAGAGTGAACTCTAGTGTTCAAGGATTCAATCTTAGAGTTCATCTCAGCCAACTTCTTGCTTATCTCCATAGCACCATCTGCTTGACCTTGTAAGAGCTGCTTCAACATGGCTTTTATTTCTTGTTCCTGACTTGGTGAAGCCTGAGGCGCTTGAGGTGCATACCCAGTTGGTACACTCTGCTGTTGTCCTTGATAATTTCCCTGATGGCCCTGGAAATTCCCTTTCTGACCATATCCTTGCTGTGGAGGCTGACTCGCTGGAGCCTGTTGCTGCGGAGGGTAGACTTGATCTTGAGGATTGGCAACATCAGTGTTACTGTAGGACATGGTAGGGTGTGACTTGTAGCCATAGTAACCGTTTTGATAACCTCCTTGTCCATTCTTAATGTAGCACACTTCAGCAAACTGATTCTCCTCCTCTTCTTGGCCTTGAACCATCTCTTCTTTAGAAACAAAGTTGGCCTTCTTCATTGTGGATTGAGCTAAGATAAGCGTATCCAACTTCTCATTGAGTGCCTTGACATCGTTTCTCAGCTTACTATCAGACTCGATCGAGTTGGAGGTCGAGCTCCTGTTTGTGCGATCATACTCCTCTCCATAGCTCCCACTTGAGTTAGCAATGTTCTCCACAAGCTGCCAGCCATCATCTACATCTTGATTGAGGAAGTTTCCATTACTGGCTGTGTCCAACATCTCTTTGTATCTTGGCAAAACTCCTCTGTAAAGTGTGGAAAGCAAAGACTCATTGCTGAAGCCATGATGAGGGCATTGACTGGTGTAACCCTTGAATCTCTCCCAAGCTTCAGCAAATGTCTCATTGTTCCTTTGAGTGAAACCAGATATCTCGCTTCTCAGCTTAGCAGTGCGACCAGTAGAGAAGAACTTGGCAAGAAATGCCTTCTTGCAATCCTCCCATGTAGTGATTGATCCATGGGGTAAACTCTTCTCCCATTGATGGGCCTTGTCACCAAGAGACATAGGGAAGAGTCTCAGCTTGATGGCATCTTCAGAGACACCATTCATCTTGGTCAGATCACACAGCCTATCAAACTCATCCAAGTGATCAATGGGATCTTCACAAGACAATCCATGGAACATCTTGTTCTGGACTAAGGTAATCATCCCCAGCTTGATCTCGAAATTGTGGTTCTGGACAGGAGGTGGGACAATCCCTCTTCTTTGCTGGTGGCGGTTTGGTGCATCTCCAAGCCCAATCGGTCGAGTCTGCCTAGCTCGACCATTTCCATTACCCAGAGGGTTTCCATTACCCTCTGGTATATCCATAGTATCTGTAACAAGCACCTCTGACTGAACTTGTTGCCTCTGGCTCTTCTTTCTCTGTTTTCTGCCTATGTTGATGTCTAACTCGACCAAGTTCTCTGTTGATGAGCTCGATCGAGTTCACATACACCTGCAAAACAGTCAAAAACCCAGCAGTACAAGCAACAAAGGTGGGATAGTACTTGATCGTTCAAGTGATTTGGAAACTCAAATGCAACAGTAACAAACCCAAATGGCAACAGGCGCCAAATTGATGATGGGATTTGTGTGTGATGTGATGTGAAATGAGATGTGGTGGATATGAAATGAGATGTGGTGGAATGCAACAGTGGTAAATGATGAGATGGTATGGTGCAATCACAATCAATCAATTCCTCTTAACCATCATAGTCATTGAAGTATAAGAGGTTATCAATCCATAAGGGTGAGATGTTGCTCTATGAGAATATGCAAACACAAGAAAGTCAAGCCAAATGATTAAATGGAGGGATGTAACAACTAAACAACCTAATATAACGGAAATGCAATGCAGAATGAAAGCAAAATGCAAGAAATAACAAGAACAAAGAGCTCGACCAAGAGCTCGATCGAGTTGATCGATTGAGCTCGATCGAGTTGAGGGTCGAGTTGGTGTAAAAACAGAGGAAATGCAATGAAAAGCGATAAAGGTGCAAACTTTAAGATGCTAATGCGAATATTAGGGTTAAAGACAGGGTTTTGCAGCTAAAGGGAGGCTATACTTAATCAGTCTTGCTCTTAAACAACTTGTATCAAGGTATCTCTTGATATTGAGCTTCTCAATGCCTAGCTAACCCTTTCCCAAGGTGAAAGCTATCAACCAAGACTTGATCTCAGAAACAGGGGGTTAGCCAGTGAGAATCAAGCCTTGGAGGCCATAGGATCATTGCTCAAACTAATCCATCCAACCCCTATGAACTCCATTTCGAGAGCAAGAGTTATTGGAGCTCTTAGTGGACCTTTTCCAACGATTTCCATCACTTCCATGTGGAGAATCGCCTATGGACATACAAGCCAGGGATAGTGGTCATGTAGCCTTAAGGTTTGTCCAAAAGAGAGAGATTTCTAGATTAAGAACATAAGCAAGAAGGATTAAGCATAAACAACCTCTAACCTATCCCATCTTAAGCCCTAAAGGAACTACTCACTACACATGATGAAATAAACAACCAAATGCAATGAAATGAGACATCAAAAGATAGAGGAGATAAAGATAAACAACTTTTATTGAAATAGAGAAGTGCAAAAACACAATAAAAGGCCTAGATCTAGGGTTCTATGAGCAAGAGCTCAAGAACACAAAGAGAGGCTAAAAAGTAAAAAGGGAAATGCAAATACAAGATTAATTAAAAGGTTGAGCCAAAGCTATGTTTAATTCGTGGCTCAATGCCATTTATAGTAAAGCAAACTAGGTTTAGGGTCAAAGGGGAGTCAAAGGGAAGCAACATTTTTCGGGTTTGACTTTGACTCCTGGGAAAGCAGCTCGATCGAGTTGGAAACTGGCCGGTCGAGCTGGTGGGTCGAGTCCAACCAATATCGTCGTATCTTCTGAACCGCTGGTCCGAATGACATGAAACCACCTCCAGACGAAAGCTAACTCAATTATCCACAACTTCCAAGAAGAAGTCAGAGGCTGAATCGGAGTGGAAACCCTTCATTTGATACGATACTTCGGACGCATCTCACTAGCTCGACCGAGTGCGGGTCCGTACATGGGGCAGACAGAGTCTTTCCTTCCTCAACTAGTCTCCAGTGATAGGCAATGTTCCAATTAGCTCCAAATGACCTGATTAAGACATCAAACGTGCACATGTATGCAAATGCAAGCCTAAAACTACTATGTATGCAAAAGAAGGGAAAACATCAAGAAATGATGCTTTGGGTGAATGAAACTATGCAAAAGATGGATAAAAGAAGGGCTAAAACCATGTAAAATGCAAGTACATCACAAATCCAAGTACCACCACTACTCTCATCAGCTGGAAGGAGAGCGTGATGAAGAAGAATGGGGAGGCGTACCACCCCATCCTGAAGTTCTGAATGAAGATCTAATCAAGCATGTGGAGAGAAATCCTTTCCCTGGACAACAAATGAATATCCCACCAGGCTTCCCCCACCAACCGCCCCAGCCTGCACCTTCACAAGAGAATGAGCTCAAGGCAATGCAAAAGCAACTACTTCAAGGGCAAGCTGATGGGGTAGTGGACACAAGCAAGAAGCTAGCTGAAATAAACTCTAAGATCGAGAACCTCAACACAAGGGTTTACTCTCTGGAGAATCATGCTTCTTCTGTTGCTGCTGCTACAAAGCAAGGACAACTACCTGGTAAAGCTATTCAGAACCCCAAGGAACAGTGCAAGGTCATCTTCACTCAAGAAGGACTTGTTGAAGAAGAGGATCAAGAAAGGGTCATTGAAGATTTTTGTTTACTGCTGAATGATGAAGAGATTGTTGCTGCTGAGGCCCCTGGAGTCCAGATTGATCAACCAGAAGTGCATGCGCCTGCTGTGGCCATTCACACTTCACCAACTCTAGCTTCATTTCATGCGCCTGCATTTCATGCGCCTGCATGCGCCTGCATTTCATTTCTGCTTCAGTTAGGTTGTTAGTGTTACCCCAAATCTTCTACTGCTTGCTTGACTTTCTTGTGTTTTCATATTCTCAAAGAGTAGCAACTTCTCCCATTTTGGATTGATAACCTCTTATACTACATTGACTATGATGGTTAAGAGGAATTGATTGATTGTGATTGCACCATACCATTTCATCTTTATTCACCCCTGTTTGCATTCAACCTCATATCTTATCACATCCACCGTAAAATCCTATCATCACACTTGAGGCTTTGCCTTCTCACACTTGAGGCTTTGCCTTCTTTTCTTTACTTAGAACCCTTTTTACTTCCTTTTTAACTTCCCAAACCTTTACTAGACCCTTTTTAGCACTGCCAACTCTTTTCCAAACTTTTACCACTTTTCTGGTTTTTACACCCAACTCGATCGAGCTCGAGTTGGCACCCCCAAACTTAGCCTGAAAACAATCCCAAGAGAACTAGACAACTAGAACTACTGCCCCTGCCGGTTTAAACACAACACCTTATGCTAAGCAAAGCCAAGAAAGGTTCTCACATTCGCACAAGAGATAATATGGGGTTTGAAATGAAAAGGCTTAGGTTTAAGGTGTGGTAACTGTCTCAAAGATAGAGATCAGCTATCTGGACAAGCAAAAGGGATATGAAAATGGTAAAGAATGTCCAGATATGTATGTGGTAGCCATGAGTTGAAATCAAATGCAAGCATTGGTAATTAAAGATCAAGTTATGGTTCAAATAGATAGGGAAATGCATCAAATCACAGCAATGGTTGAATGAGATGTGCATGCAGCGATATGATCAAGATAAACATGGTTCTTGCTGCTCAATCAATCTCACCCTAATGCACAAAAGAATCTAAAAACAGGGCACTCAAGAAATCGCAAAAGATGGACAAGTTTTCAAAGTCAAATCAACAATGCAAGTGAAAAATGCAATCCTAAACAAGTCTAAAAATATGAATGCAAAAAGATGAAAATATTTTTGGATTTTTTGAAAATTTTATGATTTTTTTGGTTTTTCTATGCAAAAGATAAATGAAAAACTAAGAACAAAGAAAACAAGGTTAAATCATCTCTTGAACCCTCCCCCAAACTTAAATCACACAGTCCCTTGTGTGAGAAAAATTTAGTGAAAGATTCAAGAGGGCAAAACCAAGAAAAAAAAAACAAATGCAAGAAAATATGAAATGGTATATACAAGGGTTGGTGTTTGGATACCTCAGTGCCCCCAAAGAACTGGGAGGCTAGGTCGTGGTCTGGAGATGGTAGACGGCCATCAGGAGCACTCCACTCGACTGGGTTCGCCTCACTCGATCGAGCTTGCTCTTGACTCGATCGAGTTGTGCCTCGAGTTAGCCATCTTCTTCCTAAAACCTGCTCCTGTAAGACTTAGCCAAGAAAATCATAGAAATAAAAGGATAAAGCATAATATTACAGATAGACATGGGAATTCCTCCCAAGTGAGCTTGTTTTAGGTCTCATAGCTTGACCTTACCCCTTTTAGGCCGGGGTTGGATCTTCTAGAGGAGTGATGATCTCCTCTGTGGGGGTCATTCCTAGATATGGCTTGCATCTATGCCCATTCACTGTGAATTCCTTCCCCTCTTGATTGAGTAGAGTGAGGGATCCATAGGGCAAAACTTCGTGGATCTTGAATGGTCCCGCCCACTTTGACCTTAGCTTCCCGGGAAACAACCTTAGCTTGGAGTTATACAAGAGCACACTGTCCCCAGCCTTGAAGTCTTTAAGGCGAATCAGTTTGTCATGGGCTGCCTTTGTTCTCAACTTATAGATCAGGAGTTCTCATAGGCATTCATTCTGATTTCCTCCAACTCAAACAAGTTCATTACTCTTCTCTCTTGTGCAGCCTTTATATCAAAGTTCAGCATCTTCACTGCCCATAGTGCCTTGTACTCTACCTCCACAGGTAAGTGACAATCCTTTCCATACAGCAAGTTGAAAGGGACCTTCCAATGGGGGTTTTGTAAGCTGTTCTATAGGCCCAAAGAGCTTCATCAAGCCTTGTTGACCAATCCTTCCTAGTAAAGCTCACTGTCTTCTCAAGAATGGCCTTTATCTGTCCTATTGGAGACCTCAACTTGCCCACTGGTTTGAGGATGGTAAGGTGTAGCGACCTTGTGCTTGACTCCATAACTCTTCATCAACTTCTCAAACACTTTATTGATGAAATGGGAACCTCCATCCGAAATAACAACCCTTGGGATGCCATATCTTGGAAAGATGATGGTTCTGAACAGTTTGATAACAACCTTAGCATCACAGGCTGGGCAGGGGATGGCTTCAATCCATTTGGACACATAGTCCACAGCAACCAGAATGTAGTTGTGCCCGTTTGAGGAAGGCTTGAAAGGTCCCATGAAGTCTATTCCCCATACATCAAAGATCTCAACTTCTAGAATTGGGTTCAGTGGCATTTCATCTCTCTTGGTGATACTTCCTTTCCTTTGGCATGGATCACACTTTGCGATGAAGCTTGCTGCATCTTTAAACAAGGTAGGCCACCACAACCCAGATTGCAGAACCTTGTTGCTGTTTTGAATGTAGCAAAGTGACCTCCATAAGCTGACCCATGGCAATGCTCTAGAACTCCTTGTACATCCTCTTCAGCTATGCATCTTCTGTAAATGCTGTCTGGTCCTCTCTTGTACAAGTAAGGCTCATCCCAATAGTAATGCCTAGCATCCTTGAAGAATTTCTTCCTCTTGTAAGCATCAAAACTACTAGGGACTTCTCCGGACACCATGAAGTTCACTATATCAGCATACCATGGCAAATTCTCATCACGCAGAGCCTTAACTTCTTCCAGCCTGACTTTCTCATCAAAACTCTCCTTCAAGATCATGATTGCCATAAGCTGTTCTTCAGGCATAGAATCATTGATGGGGATCATGTCTTCAACTCGCATCCTAGAGAGATGATCAGCAACTCCATTCTCTACTCCCTTTTTGTCCACAACTTCTATGTCAAACTCTTGAAGCAAAAGGATCCATCTGAGAAGTCTTGGCTTTGTATCTTTCTTAGCAAAGATGTGCCTAAGGGCAGCATGGTCAGTGTGCACAATCACCTTGGATCCAACTATATAGCTTCGAAATTTCTCAAAGGCAAAGACTATGGCAAGGAGCTCCTTCTCTGTGGTTGCATACTTGCATTGAGCATCATCCATAGTCTTGCTTGCATAGTAGATGACATTGAGTTTCTTGTCTATCTTTTGGCCAAGCACTGCTCCTACTGCATAGTCAGATGCATCACACATAATCTCAAATGGGTGATCCCAGTTTGGAGCTTGAACTATTGGGGCAGATACCAGAGCATCCTTCAGCAAGGTCCAAGACTTGTGGCATTCTTCATCAAACTCAAAATCTGTCTCTTTGCACAGAAGCCTTGTCAAGGGTCTTGCTATCTTTGAGAAATCCTTTCTAGATGTTGAATTTAACTTCCTATAGTCAAGACACATGCGATGCTCCACTATTGTTCTAGTGGGAATCAGCTCCTCCTTGTCATTTTTTATGACATTGATCCCCCCTTTCTTTGGGACGCAATGAACTGGAGATATCCAAGTGCTATCACTGATGGGATAGATTATCCCAGCATCAAGCAACTTGAGTATCTCTTTCTTCACTACTTCCTTTAGATTGGGGTTCAACCTCCTTTGAGGTTCAATGACAGGGTAAGTTGAGTTTTCACCCAAGAATGCATACCTGAGGCCTTCAGGCAAAGGTTTGAGGTCCACTTTTGGTGCCTTGAGCTCAGACCAATCTCCTTGAGCTTGTTCCTTGTATTCAGTTCCCAGCTCGATCGAGTTTGTTTGTTCGAAACCCGACTCGATCGAGCTCTTGATCGAGCTCACTGGCATGACCTCGCAAACTGGCCTGTCCAACCCCTCAATGCTCAGAATGTTTGGAACTGGTCTGAAGGTGTCAAGGAGCCTCTTGTACTCATCGGTTTCCGAGCTCACATATCCTTCTGAAGAGTCCTTAGTCAAAGCAACTTGTAGGGGATCCTCCAACGATAACTCTTCTAAAAGCTCATCTGCCAACTGATCCATCTCCTCAACATAAAAGAGCTGACCTTCTATTGTTGGTTTCCTCATTGTATCCTTGATATCAAACTTCATCCTTAGGTCATTTCCTAAGTTTAGCTCAATTGTGCCTTCACAGACGTCTATCATTGCTCTTGCTGTAGCTAGGAATGGCCTTCCTAGTATCAATGGATCTGTTGGTTCCTCATCCATTTCCAGCACAATGAAGTCGGTGGGGATTTCTACATTCCCTATCCTCAAAGGCAGGTCCTCAAGCATTCCAGTTGGTAACCTTATCGATCTATCTGCCAAGACTAGTGAGATTCCGCAGGCTTGGTACTTGTGATATCCCAGTTTCTTTGCTACAGACAAAGGTATGAGGCTGACAGATGATCCTAGATCGCAGAGGCTGTTTTTGAAAGATAGGGGTCCCAACATGCAGGGTAAAGTGAAACTCCCCGGATCTTCCTTTTTTTTGGAGATAACCTTCCGTTGAATGATTGCACTGCACTCACGAGTCAACACTACCATCCCTTGTGCTTCCCTGGTTCTTTGCTGAACAGCATCCTTCAGGAATTTCCGATAAGGTGGAATGGGCATCAAAGCGTCGATGAAAGGTAACTTTAGCTCAAGTTGTCTCATTAGTTCAACAAACTTAGCCTTGTGTGCTTCCAATAGTTGTTTCTTGAACCTTCCTGGAAAAGGCATAGGGGGTTTGTATGGTGGTGGTCTGATGTACTTGCATTTTACATAGTTTTAGCACATCTTTTATGCATCTTTTGCATAGTTTTAGCTTCCATTTGCATCATATCTTGTTCCTTTTCTCTTCTTATGCATTCATGTTAGTTTTAGGTTGCATTTGCATACATATGCATGTTTGGTCCTTTGAAATAGGTCTTTTGGAGCATTCTGGAGCATATGGGACATAAGGAGCATGGAGGGACTTGGCACATGGAAGCAGCTCAACTGGATACGCAAAGGAAGAAGGGAGAAGCCATCTTGAAGACCAGCTCGACCGTCTACTCGACCAACCGGTCGAGTTCCTCAACTCGACCGGCCAAGCTTCAACTCGATCGAGCTGAGAAGTCAACAGTCAAACCCGAAAAATGTTGCTTCCCCCTTGACTTTCCTTTGACCCTAAACCTAATCCTCTTTGTATTTAAAGGCTCTAAGCCACGAAAAAACCACCAAGCTTTAGATTATTTTGTTTTAGTTTCTTTTAATTTATTGTCTTTTACTTTTTAGAGCTAATCCCATCTTTGTGTTCTTGAAGCTCTTGCTTCTTGAATCCTAGATCCTGGATAATCTCTCTTTGTATTTGCACTTGCTTATTTCAATAAAAGTTGTTTAATTTCATCTCCTCTTTCTTATGATGTCTCTTTTATTGCATTTGCTTGTGTTTACATTCATGTGTAGTGAGTAGTTACCCATTAGGGTTTGAGATGGGATAGATTAGAGGTTTCATATGCTTAATCCTTCTAGCTTATGGTCTTAATCTAGATTCTCTCTCTTTTGGATAGATCTTAAGGCTACATGACCACTACCCCTGGCTTGTAAGTCCTTAGGCGACTCCCCACACGAAAGTGATGGCATTCGCTGGAAAAGATCCACTAAGAGCTCCAATATCTCTTGCTCTAGACAATAGAGGTCTAAGGGGTTGGATGGATTAGTTTGGGCAATGATCCTATAGCCTCCAAGGTTTGATTCTCACTGGCTAACCCCCTGTTTCTGAGATCATTCCTTGGTTGATAGCCTCCACCTTGGGAAAGGGTTGGCTAGGCATTGAGAAGCCCAATATCAAGAGAAGCCTTGATACAAGGAGTTTTAAGAGCTAGATTGATTAAGTGTAGATTCCTTTGATTGCAAAACCCTGTCTTGAACCCTAATTCTCTCTTTATCTTGTTAAAGTCGTCACCTTTAGCTTTTTTGTCTCAACTCGACCCTAAACTCGATCGAGCTGGTACTTTGCTGTACTCGACTCGAGTCTTGGTCGAGCTGACACTTCACTGCTTTGTTTACTTTTATTGCACTGCATTTTCATTTTTTTAGGTTGTTAGTGTTACTTCAAATCTATTAACTGCTTGCTTGACTTTCTGGTTGTTTCATATTCTCATAGAGTGACAAGTTTCCCATTTTGGATTGATAACCCTTTGTACTACATCACTATGATGGTTAAAGGAATTGTTGACTGTGTTTGTGTTTGCATCTTACCACCTCATCATATACCACTGTTGCATTCCACCATCTCATTTCATATCTTTCACATCCACACACAAATCCTATCATCAATTTGGCGCCGTTGCCGATTTGGGATATTTTTGTTGCATTTGAGTTTCAAACACACTTGGACGATCAAGCTATACCACCCCTGTTCTATTGTACTGCTGGGTTTTTGTCTCTTTTTGCAGGTGTATGA